TATCCCCTCTGGAGTGAAATTGGTGCACCAGATCTTGGTAGTTACAAACACGGCACGGTCGTCTTCAGGCTTACCATGCGGCTTTTCGAACGACTCCAGAAACTTGTCTTCCGAGACGACCTTGAAGGGCGTTCCGTCTTGAGTAGGGTCGAACTTGGCGACCGCCTTCATCTGGTCTTTAGTAAAGCTTCCAACTATAGGTCCAATAACATGTTCGTTACCGTAGATCTGTGCGTCATCCAGAGCGTAGTAGCCCTCGTCCAAAGCAGCCTTGACTGCTATGGGAGTGGAATCAGCATCGCCTTTCAGCTCCCAACAGCCCAAACTGACTGCAGGCATCATCACTCCATTCGAGAACTCTTGAACCAAAACACCCACCATAATTCCGTTCGAAAATTTACCAAACTGCGGAGACCAAGTGGAGACACCAGGACGCAACGCAACACCATGAGTGAGGTGGAATTGCGGTCCGACCGACCCTGTCGTTGGCTTTTTACGAACTCGTAATCAATTCGACTCCCCGAATTCAACTCAGCTGGCCACATGCCAGTAAGGAGCCCGACCGACGACGAAGAGAGTGCCGAAGGCTCTCGGAGGCTCAGTTGACGTCGTCGTCAAATGCGAAGTACGCGGGGAGTGGCTGTCGAGACTTTCGGACCGCAATGTCTGCCGGTGAGGAGAGACGGTACGACAAAGTAAGTCGGTAGCACGCGTCGTAATGCCTGGGCATCGAAGCGGAAGAGACAAGGCCGTAGTTGTTGGCGCGATGGCATGCGAGCTTTGAGTACGTGAAGTAAGCCCCAGCTCCAGCAGAAGCACCCTTGGCACTCACGCTCACGACGAGCGCGGAGTGGACCAAAAGTGCGCTTGGACCACGACAAATGGCGGAAGACAAGACAACAGCAGGCGGAGTTAGAACAGCTCCCTCCGGAATTGATGCAGGAGCCGAGATTCGTGTGCTGACAGAGAAGAAAAGATGACGCCTCGGGGTAGACCTTTCAAGGGCAAACATCAAGCCAAAGACGAATGAAGAAAACGTAAAGAGTGAATGGTGTAACTAGAACCATGTAATTTGTGGTTACTCCGACACACAATATGCCTGCTGTTAACATCGGATATGTCTACGGCGGGTGGGCACAGAGCAGTGTGTGAGGAGAGGCTATACGGATGTGCTCGTGCGGGCAGGAGCGACGTGCGGGCAGGAGCGACGTGCGGGCAGAAGGAGAAGGTACCGATTGAGTACGCTAGCAAGAGTAAAGACGTGGACGGAACAAGACGGCAGGCGAGTAATAAATCACGGAGGAGAGGTTACTCCCTTGAAGTGGAGCCGAAAGAAGAGATCAAAGGAGGGGGGTATAGTCGCAGTACAGCTTGCATCCAGGTACAGCTGCGGCGAGCTTTGGGGGGACAAAGTGCAGGGCCTGGATGGCGCCGGAGTGGTCAATGCCCATCCGACGTAGAGCGAACTTTACTCACGGTTACAACGAATGCGGGACGGACAATACGCGCAGGTTTAAGCTATCCAACAACCCGCTACTGACGGCGGAATACTGGCCAGTGGTTCAGGCCCGTGGTTATTTTGTACGCAGTTGGAGAGATGCACAGTTGGGATTCAAAGTCATGAAAACAGAGTTGGTAAGTCTGCAGTGGATTGGAGGGAGCGTCACGCCGGCGCACAGGTCCGTCCCGCTGGCAATCTACCGGGAGTGGGAGGCTATACGGCGAAGATGATGGGATTGTAATCTACGGACCAAGTTAGTTCCTCAGGCCTTGGTGCTGGTGATATAGCCTATCAAAAAGCGCGTTTCGAGAGCCATTCGAACGGCGCGTTTCGAACAGCCGACGGCCAGAACACGAGCAGACACACCGGAAGGGAAGAGAATGCGGGGTGGACTTGAGAGAGCGGGATCTCCAACGAGGCACAGTCTGGAAGATTTTACTTACTGAACCATTTTGTTCGGTTTAAAAAATATCCTCCAGGTGTAGGTCCTCGGTGGAACTGTGGACCGATGGCGGTCTGGCAGCTATTAAAGCCGCTCTTTCTTCATCTGTTAGTTCTTTGGCGGCCCATTTGTTGTACACTGATTGATTCTCGAAAGGGAACTCTTGTTGTAATTTTTTATTTTCGGAATCCCACGTTCGAAGTTTGATGATTGGCACCTGTCCTCGGGGGCGTTCATCAATTTGCTTTTTAACCGCGGTTAAGTTTCGGTGGTGGAACCTCGAGCGACACGGGTGGTGTGCTACCGCGGTGAACGAATGGACGGGTCCAGAAGCCCCAACTCTGGCAAGAACCGAGGGGAAGAAGTGCAGCTCCCCGATGCGTTTTGCTTGTTGCTCACCCAAGACTTGTTTGGAATATTCCAGGTCTAATCCGAACTCCGTAAGCCAACAACGCATACGCTTATAGAAGGGTTCGAACACCCCCGTCGGATAGAATTCGTAGCGAGTCGCGAGGGCGGCGCAGATACATTGGGTCACGCTCCGGAGAACGTAGGCGCGAAGGGTGTTGTTGGTGTCATATGTGGTCTTCAATTGTTGCATCTCCTCACGGCTCAACTCCCGCGTTATCGGGAAAATTACTGAGCCCACTTCCACGTCTGGCAGTTCTTCCAGAATACGGAAACCGTCCCTGAGCAGCTTGGTCACAGACCACTTGCCGTTCTCAATGTCGTCATCAAGCCACGCAAAGGATTTCGCCATGTCCACCCACACATCATCATTCTTACCATCATTCACGCCGAAAGGCATCGTAAACCGGGCCACCATCCCCCACTTAAGAGAGCAACTTGAAGAAGAACCATCAGATGACCAAACACCAGTACCATAACACTTCATAATCAAACTCGATCCCAACCCCCTCAAAAAGGGAAAAAAAAACCGGCCTTGAAATCCGTGCCATTAATGTAGCAGCGATAACAACCTTCCTAGTTAGTTGAACTCCAACACAAAAAGACAGCCGACCTGATTCAGGAAGCGACGACGCCGAAATTCTTTAACAAACGTGTGCGGACCACCCGTACCACCCCGAGTCAACATTGAGAAAGCCGGTGCCACACATTCTGTGCTACGCCAAGTACTCTCTGTGCTTCTCAGATCTTTTCTAGTCAGTGTGCCTGGTTAATCTGTTCCGAAAGGTTATGAACAGTCTTCCCATTCCGTGCTCCTTACGCAGGTCATCCGACCATCTTCGAATGAGCGGGTAATGACAAGGCCTACGGCCTCGTTTCTAGAGTGGTGTGCCAGGGCTTTCTCGATAATCTGGAGAGCCAATGGTAGTTCAGGATTGGTGGGGGAAGAGTTGCTGATAGCCCGTGGCTCGAAGGAGGGAATAATAAAAGTATGGGTCTTCTTCGTGAACTCGTTTGTGATTGGAAGGCGCATCGCCGCGACCAAAGAGAACTCAAGCCCCTGGAAGTCAGTGACATTGGTGGCAGACGGCGCAGGATACTGGCCCCCTTCAATTAGCATCCTTGCCCACTTGCGCAATCGTTGGCGAAGGACCTCCGGAACCCCACAGGACTCGGGATGCCTCTCCGTCACGGCATGTATCGAAAATAGGCAGTCTGCAACCGCTCTATACAAATGTACCCGGAATGCCTGGTTAGAGACAATCACCTGTCGCAGTTCTTCAGTCGACCAACCCGGGAGTTCTGGAGAACATCTTGTGGCCCACCCAACAACCTTGTCGGGCATGTCGCGCAAAAGGGTTAAGCCCTCGACGAAGTTGCTGCTGATGCATGTTTCGAAAGCTTCGGGGCGATTAATGAATTGTCCTAATATACTCACCATGTCTACCCACTCGTCGTCCACGCCCAGCGGCACCCAAACGCTCGCCAGGGCCGCCGTGATTCCTCCACTGCTTGGAACTGCTTGAGGACTCCTCATTTCCGGAATTTTATCGCGCGAATTTCGTAACGTTCATTTTGTCAAAAACGCAAGCTGTCTCACATTCATAGCTAGTGTCAATGCTGCAAGCCCCACCGTCGGCCAGAAGAGCGCTCTGGCCACCACGAGCAAGTCATCCTTGGTCAACTTGACTGGTTGCTGCATCACGTCCGAGAACCCGCGCGTCGGCATCTCTGCGCTCCCCACGATCGCAAAGACCAGACTCAAAGACAGCGCCAAAACTATGACGAATGGCCACGGGGAGACCGGTGCCGGCAGGTATAGAACACGCGGGATCATGACAGAGGGATTTTATAATAGCGGCCTAGCAGCATTTCGGGCGCAGCACGCGTGCGCGAGCAGGTGCGAGCGGGTCGGTAGATATAAATTATATGGATGAACGTGGCGTCGATGAAGATGATGGCGAGGATAAATGACTATGTGGTGCGGTGTTTGATTCCGGCTGCGCCGTCGGGGTCGTTGGTAGCTTCTTCTCCTTCTGCGGTTGCGCCGCAGCGGCGTCGCGAGTCTGCGCCATCCGAGTGCATAATCGAGTTGGTGTACGGCGCGTTTCTGTCTTCGGGAGAGTGTTGTCGGTGGCGGACGGTTCCTTGGGGTAGTGCTGGTTGGTTTACGGTCTCGTCGGCGGCTGCGGCGGACCCGTGGTACCAGCGACGTGCGTCTGCGCCTGTTTTGTTGGCGGAGCAGAGAGGACGGCGGACGAGTGCGATATGGAACGCACGATGTATCGATTATTTTGTGATGTCCGACCAGGAGTTTGTGCAATTTTTCGAGAACAGTCTGAGTCCATTTGCACCAGCAGGAAGTCGGCGGTTGCAGAGGCTGAACTTTTACCGTTTCGTATTGGAGAGCTACCGCAGTACGAACCCGTACCATAACAAGTACCACGCGGTGCAGGTGTACCACGTGACCTGGCACATGACGCAGTGCATCCAGAGTTACTACCATTACTGTTACCCATTACTAATTGCGGCAATGATCCACGACGTCGACCATTTGGGGGTGACCAACAACTACCTCATTGCCGTGGAACACCCCCTGTCCATCCTCTACAATGACATGAACATCCTAGAGCAACACCATTGCGCATTTATTTTCACCGCTCTCTCCGAACGAAGTGACTTAGATATATTCAGTCGGTTAGGGTCAGCCGAAAAACGAACCATACGCAAGATTATTATCCAACTCATTCTTTCGACAGACATGGCAAAGCACGCCAGTCTCATGACCGCACTTACCACTCATCTTGCGCCTAAAGCCAAGGATCAATACAGCCCAGACGATCTCTTTATCTTCGGTCAGGTTGTCCTCCACGCTTCCGATCTCAGCAACCAACTCACTCCATTCCCCTACTTCGTTCGTTGGGCCGGACTCTGCGTCGATGAGTTCAACAGACAAGTCGAACTCGAAAAAAAAAACAACGTTCCCGTAACCACTTTCATGAATTGTACCAACGATAAATCTATGATCGAAATGGAACTCGGCTTCCTAGAATTCGTCGTACTACCACTATGGCAACCTCTAGTACTCATTGAACCTCAACTCAACCAATGGGTCGATACCGGCAGGCAAAATGGCAAGTTCTGGAAAACTGCTATACACATCAACGACTTTCGGAAACCCACTAGACTCAAGAGCCTAGAAACCAACACCGAGGGCTTGGACAGAACCGAGGGCCTCGAGAGCGGCGAGGGCTTGGATACAGCCGAGGAGTTTAACTCCCAGGAAAAGCAATGCAAGTGCAAGCAATGTAAGCGCAAGCAATGTAATTCCAAGCAATGCAAGATGTGCGAGCAATGTAAGTACATGGAATGTAGGTCTACAGAATATAGGTCCTCGCGGGAGCTTGGACGGGAAGAATCTGGTAACAAGGAAGCTGCACATCCAAGTCCGGACACTTTTTCAACCGCCAAGACTCTCGACTCCGAAGAGGATCACTGGTCGGAAAATGACTCGCCTTCCGCACACGGCTTCGAATCTGAAAATGACCATCGGTTGGAGATAGAAGACGATTTAAAAGAATTGGGCGACATCAGCACAGAGCTAACCGACTTGGATAACCCAAGCGCACGTCTCTTTATACGTAAATGGCACTCGTAAGCCCTAATTCCTCTTCTCCTGTTCCTGCCCTGTCCTTGGGTTGCGCCGTCCCTCCCCCTTTCTCTTTCCCTTCCCCTTCCCTCCCCCCCTATAGTTCTTGAGATGTTTATTATCAGGTCTCGCAAACCGATATTCGAGCTGGAGAAAGACTGGCGCACTGAGTCCACAATTTTTATACATTCTGTATCTTCTATTCGAGGGCGATGACTCACTCGGGACGATTCGGGCGGGGAGCGGACCTTTTGGGAAGTTGACAATATGGTTCCGTTAAAAAGCTTAGGCATGAGCCTGGGAGTTGGGTCCTCTCTTGGGTCCCATCTGCTTCTTGGCGAGGGTCATGAAGCGTTTGTTGTACTGCATGCGTTTCTTGGCGCGTCCAGTTAAGGGCTTCTCCTTGTCCTGCTTGGAGACACGCGGGGTCTGAGACTTAACTTTACCGGCACGAGCCAAGGATCCGTGTACTTTGCCTACGGGAGCACAACATTTGAGCTGCAGGTGGGAGGGACCACTGCCCAGCCGCATGCAGAGAGAGTCAGTGGACGAAAATGCAGATGCGCGTTTTCGTGGACACACATGTGTGTGGGGTCGGGGGTTACGCAGCACTGGCGTCCTCCGACCGCAGGGGGCCGTAGGGCGGCTTTACTCAAGTGCGGTGTTGTGGTCGTGTGTGGTTACCCATGTTGTTTGTCCGTAGCGCGGCGAAAAGGCCCCCGAATTTTTTTGCAGCACGTGTTTTGTCTTTGTCGTGGGGCAGGATTAGTTGTGCAAAATGGCGCCGCGACGCGACAACCAGAAGGCGATAGAGGCGCGAGAGCGGAAGGCGCAGCAGAGTCAGAGCAAGAAGGAAGCGGAGTTGGCGGCGAAGGAGGACGCGAAGTGGCGGGACGAAGGCACGAAGCTGTTGCGGAATAAGGAGGCCCGCAAGGCCGAAGCAGACGCGAAGGCAGACGAGGCACGGCGTCGGCGGGAAGAACGGGCCTTGCTAGAACGGGCGGAGGCGGAGAGTATTCAGGGTACCACCAAAGGCGCAACAAAAAAGGGCGCCTCCAAACCCAAGGTGACTCAGTACCAGCTGCTGCAACGACAACTGTTGCTCCAAAAAACCGCCCAGGCCGCTGCTTCGCCCATGGCTCGCGTCGTATCCGCCGAGTCCATGGATCTCCTCGTCGAGAATGTAAACCACGCTCGACGAGAGGAAGCTTTTAATGCCATACTCGCCGGCGACCGCTTGGTCGACGCCAGCGGCATCGACGAAGCCCTTGAACAATTGTCCTCAGCCGACGCAGCCGACCGCAAGGTCGACATGCACCCTGAACGCAGGGCCAAGGCCGCATATAAAGCTTACGAGGCACGGGAACTCGAAACCCTCAAGTCACAGGTACGATTCCTACCCCGCTCCCCGTCCATGCTTGCGCACCAAGGCACATACCCCCTACTCATGTTTGTGTCTACCCACGGTTGAACCCACGATTGCGTATGCTCACAGTTACGCATACTACCGTTTATGCTCACCGGCTATATCTTCCATTCGTATATCTTCCATTCGTGATACCTTCCACTCCTGATACCTTCCACTGGTTATACCTTCCACCGTTATACCTTCCATTCGTGATGGGCCGAATTTTTTTCAGCTACCGGGTCTCAAGAGATCCCAATATATAGAGAGGATCCAGAAGGCGTGGGCTAAGTCGCCTGAGAATCCTCTGAATAAAATTTGATGCGTTTTTGCAAATAATGTCCGAGCATCACCTCTCACGAGAAGTGGTAAACAATTTCCAGGAAGCTTTTAACCTGTTCGACAAAGATGGTGACGGAAGTGAGCACTGATTGGTTGTGTGTGGTGTGTGGTATTGAGCTGTTGTGCGGCTGTGATAGGTACACTGGATAGGTACACTGGTGTTTGGTGTGTGCTATCCGTGTGTGCTATCCGTGTGTGTGCTATCCGTGTTGGGTGGTAGGTATGGGTTGGGTTATGTATATGCTTGTCCTTAGCAATAACGGCCGAAGAGCTGGCGACTGTGATGAGGAACTTGGGACAGAACCCGACAGAGTCCGAGGTGCAGGATATGATGAATGAAGTAGATGCGGATGGGAATGGAACGATTGATTTTACGGAGTTCTTGTCCGTAATGGCGCGTAAGGTGAAGGACAGCGACCATAAGGAAGAGTTAATGGCGGCCTTTAAGGTATTTGACCGGGATGGAGATGGGGTTATCAGCAGCGACGAATTAAGGGGCGTAATGGCCGCTCTAGGGGAGACCCTCACGGTTGAAGAGGTCGAAGAAATGATGCGTGAGGCTAGCGAAGGAGAAACCGGCATCGACAGAATAGACTATCAGGGGTTTGTTCGCATGGTCATGCGCAAAACCTGAATTTTATTTTTGCCATGCAAGCACCGGCCCTCGAAAACTACCTAGAAAATGTCCTTTATATTAAACTGAAGCAAACCAAAGACAAACAAACAGAAGCCGATGCTAAGGTCCTCGAAACGTAAGTGAACCAAAACCAACCCCCTGCCTGCTGTATAACCACCTTCTGGCTGCAGGGAGAATTTGATACGTTACTTGAACCAAAAGGTGGACCTTAAACATGAACCCGCTCGCTACTTAGTTGATATGGGTGCTGAGGTCTTTTTGGAAACAGAAGTGTAAGCTGGCACTATCGACACGCGTTACCGCTGCATGTCGCCGCGCCAGTATGGTGGCACCTGCGTAGTCTGTATACACTGCAGCCACTCACTCATGTTCGCGTGGTGTTTGATATGTGGTGTTTGATATGTGGTGTTTGATATGTGGTGTTTGATATGTGGTGTTTGATATGTCAATGGTCATACGTAGGGATAACCTGTGTGACGTTGACGTTGAACTTGTGCATGGGTTTTACTTGAATCTCCCGTTGCAAGCCGGCATCGAATTCCTTGCGAAAAGGCTTGAGATATACAAGGAGTAAGAAAGTACCACTGCCATCATTCTTCTTTATTAATAGGCGACAAAACGACTGCCTGGAACTGGTAGCCAAAGCTAAGACGGACATTAAGTGTTTCTTGGAGGCTCTAGGAGCTTTGTCTGACCCGGCTGTGCAAGAAATGATTAGCGCCAATGCCATCTAGCGCCAATGCCATTCAACGGCAATGCCATCTAGCGCCAAGGATATTTATAGACAAAGCCTTGTTCCCGGCCATTTAGACGTTCGTTTGGAACTGACTATCCCTTCCGATGTGTTGAACCAGGCAGGGATATTTATTGGACAGTATATCGCCGACAACGCGGCGAATGGTATAGCATCAGGAAGCCATTCATATATTGTCATATAGGATCTTTCCTGGAGAAACGATGCTACCTTTTTCGTCAGTTGATATTATGAATGGGTTCTTCGTAATTTGATACATCTGTAACAGAAAGTATATTCCAGACGGGACGACGTATTGTATGGCAGTAGTATGACGGTGGTATCATTACCTTTTTAAGTGCGTAGAAAAGGGTAAAGGCTGCAACGAAGACAATTAGTACTCCGTAAGCTGATAACCCGGGAGCCAGTGGATCATCATGGGAGATTTCTAGATGATAAGTGTTGTTTGATCGGTAATGAGATCTTACTTGTTTCTATGTGAATTGGTGGACTTGGTTCCTGCGACTCCAAAAGTCCAGACCCAACCTTTTTCCATACCGGCTCCTTCTTGTCTGCGTCGGACGTTTGTTTTTGAGACGACCTTCGTTGAGCCATCGTAGCGCTTCGCATGAAGTTGTTAAAATCAACTCCCCGCCTTTCGACTATCACGCCGTTTGCCGAATTCCTCAAGGATGCTTCCATTAATGCCTCCAGGATACTCAAGTCGACAATTTCCTCCATTATATCCGACATGTTCGACTGTGTTCGATCCCGACTGTGTTCGATCCCGACTGTGTTCGATCCCGACTGTGTTCGATCCCGACTGTGTTCGATCCCGACTGTGTTTGATCCCGACTGTGTTCGATCCCGACTGTGTTCGATCCCAATCGAACACAAGCTTTATGGCGAAAGCGGAGCGTAGCCCGGCACCACAAACGGTACTTTCCTTTTTATCGAAGTCAGTAGCTTATCTTTATACAACCCGTCATCAATCTTTCGGTTAGCTCCTTTGAGCACATCTGTAGCAGTTTTCATCTACAACACTGCTGTGGCCCGCCTTACGTCTTACAGTATCAGCTTCTTCAGCGATCCGATCTAGAGCTGTTAAATGCCGTTCAGTTTCCTGTTAACATTCCCGATCACCAGCCCAACCGCCCAATCGTTACCTCGCTTTGGGCGTTTAGTACCTCTTGCATTCCCGCAAGGATCTTTCTCCCATGCCTATAAACATCAAACATCCTCCACCACACGCCTACACTGGCAATTTAGCCTCTGTGGTTTACTAGACGTTTTCTGGACTCCCCTGGGTACCTTCTATGAACAGTGACCACACCAAATCCTGTTCGGCTTTTGCCAAAATCAAAATCGGAAGAAGGCGCATCTTGAAGCACACGTGTGTGCTAATCGCGCAAATTCGAATTCGAATTGGAAATCTAAAGCAGTCTAATCGGACGAAATCGCTATGCCTTGCGGAGGAACTACTGTCGAATTCAATGAGGAAGAGAACACCATTTATATTACGGGTCCTCAGCTCCAAGACTTCCTGAATTTCGCTTGCTCGACGGTTATGATCGTTGCCGTCCTTCAACTGGTTACAATGATAACAAACAGCCAAGGTAAGGACACGGACGCGACATACAGCATTAATGCCGTTATTTTAGCAATAATTGTGATTGTGGCTAGTGTCCTAACAGTCACCCAGACAATGTGGCACCTTCGAGAACAAAATAATTCGACTAACACTGTTGATAAGGTAAGTAGCCGCTATCTTGGACCGACGACTCATTTTCTACAGACCATGAACAATCTTGACGAATATCCTGCTACATCTTTATTGACGAACCTTTGTCAGAAGACAAATCTTTCTCAAAAAAAAGATAAAAACGTATAACGGAGTTTAATTAATTTTTAACACCAACAAACAGCGTCAAGGCTGCATTTATTTTAGATCAGTGCACGGAGGGTATTTGGGGGGGATGTTCTATGCTTGGTGAGTGCTTGGAGTTTTATTCCAGGCTTCTTATTCAAGAAGAGTATTTAATAGATGACGTCGGGAGAGCAAGCTTGTGGCCACTGGTTCATGTTCGATTATCCAAGTATTTACGAAATGGCGGCGGGCGGGATGGCAGCTTGCGAAACGGCAGTTTAATAGACGGACTGGAGGAATGCGTGACGGCAAAGGAGTATACTGGATTGAGCGCGGGCGAGGTCTGTACACTATTAACTGCCAATGGCAGGTTTGATTGGGAGCTTACAACAAAGTGGTTTGTCTGTGTACAGATGCTGATGGATTCCATTTTTATGGGAACGCCTGCTCCGGAAGATCTAGAATCAGTAGAGGATAGTTATTCCTTATGCCGTGTGAGAGTGCCTCCAGATCAAGCCCAGGATGATGCAGGTGGGTGGCATGCGAATGGGTGGTATGCCGAAGAGAGTACCCAAGCTTGGCTGGTGCCGGCCCTATCTTTGATCGGCAGAATAGAGGTTGGGGATTTGGCGGTGGTCGAGCACCTGTCTGTTCTCTGTCTAGACATGTCGCTGCAGGCTGTTAAGATGTGGAGCACCTGCAAGTGGATTGATGGCATGCATGCTGCAGGTGACCTTCTTATACTTGTCTCGATTTGTGTTGGAAGCTTTTGCGGGCATTCATTACCGGATATATCCGATGAAGCAGCATCTGTAGCCGAGAAACGACTGAACGTAATTTTACGACGGGTGTAAGCGAGCATTTAGAGAAAGGGATAATATGAACATCTTGTAGGGAGATGAATGAGGATGTGGAATTTGCAGAGGATATTCGGAAGGGCATTCCGCTGGTCTTGTATTTGTTCAATTCTCGCGATTATTTTGAGTTGCCCTTCCTACAGCGGTTGGAATTATTGATGGACGTAGGTGCACCGCGTATTCCCATGGCTGTTTCTGTGCCGTCTGGTGTGTTAGCCGAAGTCCAGCAATTTGTTCAGTCTGCAGGGCTGTCCTGGCAGAGTCGTTACGAGTCGTTGGTCCGGATTCAGTGTCGCGTGGAATTTTTCGAGCGTCGGCGAAAATGTTTTTCATTTGAAGAGACGGTGGAAATACTGGAGATCCTGTTTGCCTGGCTGACTGAGGAACTTAAGACAGACGCCTCCTGGATCAATGAGACGCGCAAGTCTTGTCGTGGTAGAGTGGTTGAGGTCTTGGTCAGATTATTGGAGGCAGCGAATAGCTGCATAGGGCAGAGGAGACCAAGCGTCGGCGACAAGTGGGAGATTCCATTGTACAACATGCAGCCCCAGCTACTCCTGGCGAACGAGGATATGGTGGTTGAATTGTTCGGTTTGCTTTGTCGTACGTGGGCCTTTGAGATTTCAGCCACCTCCGACATCTATATGGTAAGCCCCATGAAACGTGTTGACTACCAAGTGGCAGACCATAATAAGTCGCATGACCTCGTGTACGCTGCCGAGGACTACGTAGACTTAATTGCCACCCTGGCGCAAACTGTCGGGTCCGAGGTCATGCCCCTGGCGCGAGACCGAAGAAGCGAAATGGAAGACCTGCTAGAACAACTGGTTGTTGTCAGCTACTCTGGCATCTCCCAAGGACTACCGTTGTTTTTAGACGATTCTATTTCCCAACCGCCTCGCGACTACACCAGACCAGGTCTGTCTCGGAGACGCAAAGCAGCGCTCAGTTACCTCGAGGCTGCCTCCTCTTCAGAGACCCTTGAGAAACTGGGAGCAACAGTCGGCTATGCAGAGACATACCGTAAGACCAATCTAGGCTTCATGCCTCACCATATTTCTGACAAACTTACCCAGTCACTATTTTGCCTCGTTGACCGAGGACATGTCTCGGCCTGCCGGCTTCTTAGCCAAGTGAAAACCCAGGCCAACTACGAGATCTTAATGTCCGCTGTGCGATACTGGCTGGAGTTGCAGCTGACTCAAGTCTCAACAAATCTTTTATACAACTGGGTAGCCCTCTGCCTAAAGCATAATCCCACTGACTTGTTATCCGAGCATGCTCACTTATCGGAACGTGTTAACACGCTGGAGCATTCGAGGTGCGCAAAGATTGTGTCTCATGAAGAAAAAAATTCAAGCCCGTCGTCGTGGTCGTCTGTTACAGGTCCATCTGTTACAGGTTCAGGAAGTAAATCCATTACACCTACGGCTAAGGAAGCTATGGTTAAGGAAGCTATGGTTAAGGAAGCAATGGTTAAGGAAGCAATGGCTAAGGAAGCAATGGCTAAGGGAGATATGTCAATAATAGAAGAAGATATATCAGTTACCAGAAGCGACTCGGCTAAAGCCAAATGGTTCGCGACTCCTGAAGAAAAGGGTCATCCTCGCAGACTCGAGAGCAAAGGAGTAAAAGGTCGGCTGGCGCTTCCTGTTGTTCTGCTTCAAGACATATGTGCATCGTTGGATTGTGTGAAGCTAGCTATTGACTTAAACCCGGAGTTTGATATGCTAAGTCCCTGGAATGAGTTCCGGCAGATTCTGATTAAAGTGATTTCGCAGATAGACGCCATCCACGAGCTGTGTCCGGGAGCAGGATTACTCACCCCGGCTTTACGTGCAGTGCTTACCAGCTCGGTCGACTTGATGAGGAATCCCCAGCTTCCGTTTCACAGGTGTCTCGGTGTGGATGCTCCAGACGTTGTGGGTGGTCAGGAAAGCGAGGATGATTATGAAGAAGATCTGAGCCGCCAGGAGAAGTCTGGGAACAATGAGAACTATCCGGACCAAAATTTTCAAGACGTGGATTGTCGTCACGTGGACTGTCAGGACGAGCGCTACCAGGGAGGTAGAGCGGATGGTAGTGGCGATGAGAAGTGGAACGCGGCAGTTGGAATAGAGAGGTCTGTCAAGGTCAGATCTGGAACAGAGGAGCTTGACATGTTGGAAGCCATGGTGAAGGGTCTGGTGGATCCGGACTTTGAGCACGAAGAGGAGGACGGGGATGAGAGCGGCGACGTGAGTCCCGCGGTTCAGTCCATTCTGGACTTTGTCGATTGCGACCACAGCGACCCCTACGCCGTGCGTCCCAACCGACGAGGACGCTTGTTGGGTAGTGGGCTGCATGAAGATCTACTGCAATATGTTAAAGGCTATTTCTGGGATGACCGACTCGAAGGAGATTAATTGACGGCGTGGCATATTCATGAAACGGCATATATTTGATGCACGAAACAGCGTCTATTTTTTGCTACAAAGCATGTGTCGGGGCTTGCAACGTTGTGGTCACGATTGAGCATGGAAGCGCTAAGACAGAAGCGGTAGCGCTAAGACAGAAGCGGTATCGCTTGGGCGGTAGCTGGTATCGCTAGGGCGGTAGCGCTAGGGCAAACACCACTTCCTCCTCCTTCCGGGGAACCATCGATTTTAAATTTAGTGTGATGGTGATAAATGTCAGCGGGCGGAAATGGAAGGAGCCGAAAGTCCAGCGGTTTAGTGCCATGACACCGAAACATCATGTGTTAACATTCGACCAGCGTTTGGCAAAGAAGCAAGAGTTAGAGGAAGTAAAACGCATGGAGCGCGAATATATGGAGGAAGAGAAAGAAGAGAGGCGGATAAAGGCGGAAAAGTCCAGGCAGAAGCAAGCCTATAAAAAAGAGCAACAGCTACTTCATGCCGTTAAGAATGGCGTGCAAGTGGTAAAGGATTCTAAGAAGGTCAGAAAGATGACACAAAAAGTCAAAAAACAGCTCGTCCGAATGCCCCCAGAAATGCTTCGGGATTATGTCAAGAAGTAGTTTTTTCCTCCTGCCATTTCTCCCTACTTTTGTTCTTGAATTTTAATTACTACTTTTACCTGACAACTTCTGCGTGTCGAACACGGCGCGGGCGTCGCACACGACTAAGACCATGTCTAAAGGCAGAGATCATGTCTAAAGGCAGAGACCATGTCCAAAGGCAGAGATCATGTCCAAAGGAAGAGACCATGTCTAGGGGACTTATCGGTAGCAGGAATTGCTGCAGCGAGCACAATCGCAGTGAGCGCCATATAGCATAATCGGCACTATATGGCGGATAGTCTGTCGAGCACTGCGCACCGTTCTTCGTAGGACGACTCGGAGAGGTCTGGCTTGCACAGGAAGAGAGCCTCGAGGACTTCGCCGAGACGTTGGCGTCTTTGCAAGTCGATTTCCTGAGCGACCAAGTTGTCCCGGACTTCTTGGGATTTTTGTCGCAGGAGCGTGAGCAACGGATGGAGACAGGAAAGCGAATCTCTATCAGAATATATGTTGGCTTGGAGGAGCGTGAACAATGTACGTAGGACGTCGGTGACATTGGGTCCTTGGTACCACTCGCTGAAAACGCGTCCGGCGGCGACCCATTCTTCGGCTTGTTCTTCGTTCTGGGGCAAGTCGGATTTCAGATTTACGGCGACGGGGATGCCTTGGGAAATAGCTGCCCGAGAAACGGCGTAGCGGGCCAAAGAGTTGAGAGCGTCGTTGGCTGCTACCTGGGCGGCGTTATCCGAGCTGAGGATTCCTTCCTGCAGACGTACGACCAACTGGCTAAAGACGTCGGGAGTAATGTCGTACACGTTCATCGACGAGGACACCACCTTCTCTACGAAAGTGATCATGGGCGTAAACTTCCGGATGTATGCACGGAACTCATGTGGTGGAATCGACAGAACCATACGCACACACCACTTGATCACGACCGCGATCTCTGTAGTCATAAACGCCTTCAGGTCCAACCACTGCAATAACCCATTTACCAACTCTACAATGGTCTTGAGCACTCGATACCGAGTCTTGTAAACGACATCCTGTCCCACGCCATGTGGGGCACCCACACCTGCTATCGCATCGTCCTTCCACGACTGAATGTACTGCCACAAGGCCCGCACATGGCCCGGGATCACGACCATGCCAAGGTCCCGCACTTGACTGTTCTGAGCGTACAAACGGTCTCTCCGATTCACGATGCATTCCGTCATGAACTTCAGACATGTCAAACTCACTTCCAAGTTGTTCGCGTGCTTCTCCAACACCGTGTAAAACATGTTCATCCGACATCGCGCAGGTGTGCTCGGCCGATTAACCAACCACGACATAAAAGCAACGTATGCATCGCCTGTGCGGCAACCCTCGCAAATGCCCCGGAAGTCACAACATAACTCCAACGCCGCCGCCGGTCCCCCTTCCTGGGTCTCCGCCTCTTCAAACGGTGCCAGAAAGGTCTTAAAAGCTGTCTGGCTGGGCAGGTCGAAAATATTGTTCGCATCCGAAATGCGCTTGCCGTAGGGGTCGTCCACGTCGGCCAGGCCGTACAGGAAGAGTTGGGTCACGGTACAGTAGAGTTTCCGGCGTAACTTCGCAGTGGGCATGCGGCCCGCTATGGAGCGGAAGGAGTTAGGTTCAATCAACTGCTTGATAGCGTTGGTCTTGACCAACGCCTTACCAATGTAGAGCGAGGGACTATGCAGCTGAATGCTGAAGCCCTCGGTGTAGGTAGCGAGCACGTCCACAGTTCGCTTCAAGACGGTACCGTCTTTAAAGACCAGGTTGTGAACCAGGTTGTCACACACTACGTTTAAAACAGTTTCGTCGCACACGTTTGTTGACGTCTTGACATAGATCTGGAGAAACTGCAACTCAGCCAAACTAAGGGGTTCTGCGAGCTCCGCACTTATGTTGGTCCGCGGCTCCGCCATGTATCCGAACACGCGTTGAGTCAGCGGCCCGACGACCGACTCTCTCCCCACCGAGTCGGCGTCCGACGTCTTGAACTCCATGGCCGAGATACTAACGGGACTCTGGAAATAAGATTGAAGGATTGCGCCGGCAATGTAAATAAGCCAGGCAAACCGCTTGACCAAGAGATCCTCAGGGAAGGGGACGGAAGTGTTGCCAGCGCTCAGTGCCAGACATTGGTCCCAGGCGCTGGAGATGATTGCAACTGCATCCGGGACCATGGCAGTGCCGAGTTGGGTTAGCAGGTCCAAAAGCTCCTCTCGCAAAGTCTCGTCAGTTAACGGGTCGCCCTCTACATTTTCTGAAAGGTCTTGAATTTTGTTCAAGTCAAACAATAAACAACGAGGACCCCCAGACTGGAACCACCCACTCTCCTCCAGCTTGTTCCAGATTGCCAGGCAAGAGGTGATCTCACCCAACTGCATACAGTACTCCACAAAGGCACTATACACGTTGAACACACAATGATGAACTGGCTGAAACTCACAGGCCGTTTTACCACTGCAAGAATTCGTAAATAATTTGGCCCAAAACTTCAATAAATGATGAGTAGCGTTCATAGCTCCCTTCTGCTTTATCGTATTCAGCGTGAATGTACAGAGAGTAGAAATAAACTCCACGCACTCAGCATCTTGTAAATGGGACCAATACAACTCAGGCATATCCTTAACCGACATAGCCGTCTTGATTGTGTTCAACGTAATTGCAGAAGCCATCTGCGAGAGGAATATCGTGAATTCGGTAAATGTCTGGTCCAGTCTTCCCACAGTCTGATCGAACCCAAGATTGTTCGAAATGACGTTCAAAACAAATTCTATTAGCTCCTGAGCATAAATGCACAGCTGCGTCTGCTTTCTAGGAAGAGAATTCATCGAGGCGCATAGGCATTGAAGGCATAATATTTTGCAATCGCGCGCGTGTGCGCTCGATAATTTACAAAATATTTGGTACATTGCAATGAATATCTTGCCGCACTGGAGTTCCTTGGCGCCCGTTACGCTCTCTGAACTGTTCAAAACAAATGTCTCGTTAGATATGCTCAGTCCGGAGCCGGTAGAACTGAAGGAGAGTGCGTTTCGTATGAAGGTAAGTGTGGACTTGACCAACTCAAGAGACTCCTTCGTATCCTGAATTGCTAGTGTTCCATCCATGAATTTAAGAAGCATATCCAGAGCTGATTTAAGCACAGGTGGTAAAACATTTGTTCGCAGCTGCTTGCCTATTATTCGCGACGATGTTCCTTCCCACTGCTGAATTACTTCCGAGTAAATATTCATAGCCAAGATCCAAGACTCTGTATTGGATTGCAAAAGCGGTGATAACTCATCCGCCACCTTCTGCTGTTCCGGATTATTCGTCCATTGGAGATAAGTTAGCTTAACGTATACAATAATCACTGCCGCAATCTGTTCGGGATTGGTAACCGCGAATCTCAGTCCACTGCGTTGTAGATAACCTAGCAAGGCTGTCCTCAGCTCTTCTCGTAACTTGGTGTCGATTTGGGGCCATTGACTAAACCAATTTTAACATGGTGGCTGATGTACCCTGGTGGCTTAGGTGGCGTACGGTTGGCCTATGTGCTGTGCTGTGGGGTGAGTGGTCTTACTTGACAATAATTTGCCTGAGTGCTGTTGCAATGAATGAAATGACTAGTGGATTTTGTTCGGCTTTAAGGCATTGCATCAGTGGCACGCAAGTCTCGGGTCTATCGAGGTAAGGTAGGAGTGCCTTATAGGCGTCCATTTGTTGTCTAGGGTCGGCAGAACAGTAGCTTGAACATAGCTGGGAGAGGGTCGCCACGTCCATAATAAAAACTTGTGCCGGGCCATGACGACCGCTTGCAGAGTGATTGTCCGGATCCGGCCGCTAGACGTGGAGAACAAGTCACCCGGTCGGCCAATGGCCTTGGAATGGCATGCTTCGGAGGACCATCTATCAGATCAGATAGTATCTTTCTCAGGAGGAGTGCCCTCTGCGGACAACAACTCTACAGGACCCAGCTCTAGCACATTCCTGTCTACGAGTCTCATCTCCGATACCGGCGGATTCGCTACCTCGCGAACGGTACCCCCGGGGTCTACTATGAACTCAACCATGGGATCAACTCCGGGTTCAGCCACGGGTTCAACCACGGGTTCAGCCAACTTAGGTATTGGAAAAAGCTGGAGTAACAAGACGGTGTATATTCCATCTCTGGGGATAGAATATGAATACGATAGAGTTCTTACACCGGACGAGGACCAGAAAACTACTTATGATGCTGTGTGTCAGGATCTGATCCGACAGTTTCTTTCAGGGATAAATTGTACCGTGTTAGCCTACGGTCAGACAGGTACTGGTAAGACGTATACTATTGGAACGAATGCGCAAGATGATACTAAAAATAGGGGTCTTGTAGTTAGAGCCGTTTGCGAAATATTTCAAAGGACTATACAAAAGACCACCGACCCCCCTATGGATGGTATTGACCCCCCTATGGATGGTATTGACCCCCCTATGGATGGTATTGACCCCCCTATGGATGGTATTGACCCCCCTATGGATGGTATTGACCCCCCTATGGATGCCGGGGAACATTCTGGACAATGGAAGCATTCAATCCACATAACTTTTATAGAATTGTACAATGATGAAATACTTGATCTTCTAAATCCCAGTTTTACCAAGATCAATAATCGAACAGCCATCAAAATTAGTCAGTCTGTTGACAACAATTCCATCCAACTATCAGGCATCAAATATGCACCTTGCGACGCGGCCGCGGCAGCCTTAAACTTGCTCAAAACCGGAGTCTTACATCGTAAAACATCCAGCAATTCCTTGAATAGCACATCCAGTAGAAGTCACGCTATTTATACTATCTGGCTCAAGCAACATAACTTAACGGACGGAACCATTCTGTACAGCAAATTCCACTTCGTCGATTTAGCAGGAAGTGAACGCGTTAAAAGAACACAAGCTACCGGCAATACGTGAGCGTGAGCTACAACCACACTGGCTACACACGACTTATGTATCAACACGTATACATAATCACATGTGAATACATAAGTCGTGCTGAACACTACGAACACGTTTGAATAAACGAACACGTTTGAATAAACGAACACGTTTGAAAAAACGAACACGTTTGAATAAACGAACACGTTTGTTGTTCATAACAGGTCAGAATGTTTCTAGGCTGCGCGAAGGGATTTACATTAACAGTGGGCTGTTGGCATTGTCGAACGTGATAAACGGATTGACGCATCAAGAAACAAGTCACATACCGTACCGTGATTCGAAGCTGACGCGCATTTTGCAGGACTCCTTGGGCGGGAATAGTCGAACAGTATTGGTGGCTTGTGTTAGTCCTCGGCGTGAAGATTTGGCGGAAACATGTAGCACCCTCAAGTACGCCGGGCGAGCGCGACATATCAAGAACCGTGCCGTTGTCAACGCACGTAAGAGCGACGGCGATACGCGTGAACTCAGACTCCAACTTGCCACTGCACTGAAGGAACTGGAAATGCTCAAACGTAGCAATCGGGCACCGCCGGGTACTGGAGGACCGCCGGGTACTGGTGGTGCTCGAGGTCAAGGCCCAGACTCTACTGGGGGAGACGAGGGGGAGATGAGAAGACTGCTTTCGAAAATAACGTTGTTGGAGAAAGAGAAGCAAGTACTATCAGCCCAACTGAACAAGTACCGCCTTAAGTGCGCGCAACTTCTGGAAGATGCCAAACTTATCTCTCCTGCACTCCATGATGGTGTCCTCGTCGAGGACCAGCCCATGGACGACGGAATTGACCCCAGTCCTACAGCGCGTGACCAACCGATGCTCGATTCGCCTGCTGGTCGTGACGCAGAAGGGGGCGGTGAGGAGGCTGGCGACAGCACGGAGAATACGACGGGGGTGGAAGAGGGGGCTGAGCCTCGGGAGCAGCTCTTGACGGACTGTGATCGGTTGGAGACGGCCATTCGTACGACGAGTGACCTGATAAGCGGGACGGCAGTGGAACAAGGTTGTTGGGAGGAGCTGGTAGTCATGTTGAAGAAGGAGATCCAGGTGCTGAATGACCGGTTGCACGCTGGCGAAGACCAGATGCGGCTGTTGACGGACAAAATTGTAGAATTGGACACGATTACCTTCGCCGAGGAGGTCTGCACTCCGGTCCACCCATGCAGTCGTGCGTTACGTACATCCAGCTGCGTCGAAACCGCAGCAGCGGAAACAAAAGCAGCGACAAATCGTGGTGATTGCGCGTCGGTGGTGTTGCACACACGTTTGGCGAACGAACGGAGAGAAGCTATCAGCCACGCCGATCGTATAAAGTCCTTAAACAGCGAGCTCGCCGCCGTTAACCAGCGGCGAGAGGATGCTGTTCAGCGTATGGCTGCACATGAAAAAGCCCTGGTCAAACTACAAAAGGAGAAGGAGGCTATCAAGAAATTGATTAAAGAACAGGAATTAAAACACCTAAGAAAACTGGGTGAGAAAAACAAGCAAATTCATGACCTAGAAAAGAAGGCAGACGCCAATGAAGCAAAGGCAAAGGAATTACAGTCACAAAACCGTTCGCTGAGCAAGAGACTTCAGTTACTCTCTAGAAGATCATCTTTAAATAAGAGAGATGAAACTTCTATACACGCCTTGGTTGAGGAATTAGGTTCCATAAAGACTACAGAATATAAGTTACAGGACGCAAAAAATGAGCTAGAGGAAAAACGGCAACAACTCCAACATGAAATTTCCCTGGTCATGACTAACATTACTAAGTTGAGCTGTAAGGGCTTGTGTGTCAGAACCACGGGTCGTGAAATGGGGCGGAATCGAACCGAGAATCGAGGTCGAGACGAACTGGAAATTGAGAGGATGAGAGAGAATCTCAGCCAGCTGCAAATGAATCTGTCCTTTGTAAAGACAGATCTCGATGACGTTGTCGAAAGGCTGGGAAAGAAGTCGGATGTTCAATCCCACTTTGAAAAGCTAAAAGCTCTTAATCAGGGGGCACCAGACTCAGTGCTATCTGTTGTTCTCAACCTGTACTATGTTGCTCTCTACGAACTATTCAAGGTCTCCCATCAGATTGAGTCCCATCTTTCGTTGATTCGAAAACTCAAAATAGATATTGCAAGGTTGCAAAAAGAGTCAGTAGCCCTCAAGACTGATATGGAGGACAAGGCAACGGATCTCATGCTCAAATGTAATGAGGACAAGCTGCTTTACATGCAGATTCTCGGCGTAGGAACAAACACCAACGGCTATACAAACCCAAGTGGCGCGGGATCGAGGAGTCAGAACGGCGCTCTTCGCAAAAGCCGGTCGTGGCCCTCCTTGTCCCGCGACGTTCCCACGGTGGCCCTGGCACACGATGGCGAGCTGGACGACGACTCCTTCCTGCTTCGGTGTCAAAATCAACTACTGATGGAGCGTGTCGGGTTGCTCACTCAAAAGTGCGAGCGACCACCCAAGCTACCCCCAAGCGGTGCGGTTACCCCCGATGTCGACTACCTGGTGCGGTCGAAGAGCGAAGACCCGGCTGAAGGACTTATTCGAGATCATCTGCCCGAGACTGACGACTTGACCAGGAACGGGGCCCCGGCGAAGTGTGAACTGTCATCGGACAAAGGCCTCAAACGCATCCCGACGGGTAACCCCTTGTTGGCAGTCACCCCGGTAGTCGCCTGCCCCCAATTACTACAAGGCGCGGCCGGCTCGCCTCCTCGCAAGAGTCCCAGTCCACGCTTGATGCCTGGACCCTGCAAGTCTGCCCCCAGTGGGTCTATCCCCCCCAGTGGGTCTATCCCCCCCAGTGGGTCTATCCCCTGTGTGTCCAACCCCTGTGTGTCCAACCACTGTGGGTCTGGACCTGGGCCTAGGGAGGATGGTGGTCGCTCGCCCAAGTCGGACGCGGAAGCAAGTCCAAGTTTGCGTCCTTTGAGTCCAATGACTTCGCGGAGTACAAGTCCTCATCGTAGTCCGGCTCGAGCGCACAGCACCATGACATTGAGTCCGCGGCCATTGGGCCGTCGTTACAAGCGCACGTTGACGCGTAGTTCGCAGCCGGACGCATGTAGTTCATTGGGGTTTACTTTGACGAAGATTTCGGAGCCGTTAACATTGGCTGATTCCAAGATAACTTCCGTGACTTCTACAATGCGTTCGCAGCATCTGGCATGTGGATCGTGGCAGACGGTGTCTATTTGGGATGTGCGCAGTTTATCGCGTATAAGGAGCGCGAGGAGCGGATCGGGAGCGGCGTCCGTTGCGCCAGTTGCGCAGTGGAAGTGTGCGGATCATGGGGGGTATGTGAGTTGCGTAAAAGACGTGGAGTCGTTGCGTGTTCTGGCGGTTAGTTGCAACAATAAGGTATTATTGGTCGACCCGCGCACGTGTGTGGTCATTAAATCTTGGACTGCTAAGGCTGCCTGTAAATCTATCTGTGTCATCCGCGACTCCTTTCTGGGTGCGTCCTTCAGCGATGGCAGCATCCGACTCTTGGACGCTCGTGCCGATGAGATGGTGCCCATATGCAAGGTCCCTCTCAACGAAGGAGAGTCATCTGAAAAACTGGAATGGCTAAACAACTTCGGCAACATGAGCTGCCGCAACTTCCCCCTTGAACTGCTCGAGGGCCTGGTCTCCGCTTCGAACTTGGGTGTTGTGAAAGTTTGGACGGAGGGATGGTCCGTACTGCCCTCTGTACATCAACTGGGTAATATCCAGTGTCTCAAGACACATCGCCTCGGCTCCCACTACCTTACCTTCGTCTGTTGCACCAAAGACCCGAACTTACGGGTCTGGGTCTCATCCGGTAGGCAACACCGCCTCCTCGCAGGCGTCCCGCTTCCCACCGGCCTGGCCAATGGTACCATGATCAGCGGTACGACGGGAGGCAAGACAGGCGGCCTGTCCTCCAGCAGCAGTCTCTCTTCGGCCTGCGCCTCTAGCGGCGACCAGCTCACCGGAACCGAAAACTCCTCGGACACCCCGGCTGCTAACGCCAACGCCACCTTGGCCGCCACGGCCCTGGCCGTCGTCGACGACCTCAGCATCACCGGCAACGCCGGCGGCAAAATGAGACTCTGGAGATGGAACCAAATCCTCGGTGAAGAACACGTCGCCAACAATCGCCTCGCACACACCAGCGCCGTCACCGGCATCGTAGCCCTGCGAACATCCGGCAAAGACATCTGCCTACTCACCGTCGCAAACAACGTTTTGAAACACGCAGTGCTCAGCAGGCAGTAACTCAACCCTGCGTGCCACTCCCAGCACACAACACGCGGTATTGACACCATAATACTAACTCGATACCAACGGTATTGTTCACCCAACGGTGCCAACAAGTGCTATTCAAGTGGGCGTTATTCAAGCAGCTTCTTTAGTTTTAGTTTGCGCTCGAAGGTGAGTCGGCATTTTTTGCTCTGATCACTCTGCCAGAGTGTTTGACATACAAGGAGTAACAGACAGCTCAGCTGGTCCGACTCCGGCTGTTCCTTGGAAGCTCGGTCGACGTACATGGCCAAGTCCCACAACCGTTCGGCAAGTTGCTGCCAGCGGCCAAGGCCTGAAGACTGGTGAAGGAAGAGGTGGCACGCAGCTTCGCCTAAAATGAACTGTAACGCGTGATTCACCTCCCGTAAATGTCCGTTTGGTAGCAACTCCGATCGAACGGAGGCCTGGACCACCGAGGTCTGGACCGCTGGGTGATGCAGCAGGGTGGTGTTTACCCACACTAACTGGTCGATTAGGACTGGAAGAGTACGAGAATCTGACCCGAAATGAAAGCGTAGTTGCAGCAGGGGACTACCATGGGTCACGGCACTCACAAAAGCTTGAAGACCACCTGCCAGTATCAACCTTTGCCGCACACTTATTTCACCGAGTAGACCTACAATCGGTACGATCGTTCGACCAACCAGAGTCTCGTGGTAGGCGTCGATCAACTGAGAAGCTTCAGGTCGTCTTGAACCAGTAATATGGAGACGACTAATCGCCCCACTAGTCCGTTTAGTGGAATAATCCGTTTGGAAATGAAGGTTTCCGTCTATAAGTTCCTTTTTGATAGTGTCGCCGCACAAAATGATGGTTCCCAGGAATGCGCCTATAAGGGGCGTGACAAGGTCATCCGTCAGATACGGTAGATTCTGGTTGGAATTCAGGAGGCCTTTCATGGCACTGTAGCCCGAGGTAACGAGTGCATTGAAGATACCGCGGAAGTCCCGAACTGAGTGACAAAAGTCACAAGCGTTGCAATGCCGCTTGCAAGGCGCTGCCTGTTGAATAGCGAGCAGCCCTCCATGGTAGGTCCGAACTATCTTAGGGAGGTCCGTGCAGGTTGTCTCTTGGGATATTGCGAACCACTCTTTTTGGCTCACCTCCGGCGCCTTTCCTGGGTATATCAAGTCACCCGCAAGCTGCAAGCTCACGTTGTCCTCATTCACTTCGCCGTGCTGCAGTCGACGCTCAAACCTGTCCACTACACTGTTGAGACCTATCGCGGGCCGTACAACCCTCTCGGACACCTCCAGGATCGGGATGTCATTCTCCGATGCGCCGACCCGCGCCGTCCTCGTCACTTCAAGCTTAGCACCGTCGTCGACGACTGGCTCGTCGACGACTGGCTCGTCGATTGGCGAGAAATGCAGGGCTTTGGTCGAATTACAGGCCTCGCAATAGCGGAGCACACACGTGTGCGAACAATCCGGATCGACCGCCGGCCTCCGACGCCGTCGAAAAACAAATGGGTAAAGTCCCACGTAAGTCGCCATGACATAAGACAACATCATCTCGTCCTCCGGAGAACTTGCCACTCGCCAGTAACCTGCTTTACTGGGCACGGATGTCACCGACCTCCACCAGTCCTTAGTGCTAAATTTGGACTCAAAGGGCTTGATGTCTCTCAACAGATTCTCTCCAAGGGGATTCTGTCCAAGGGGATTCTGTCCAAGGGGATTCTGTCCAAGGGGATTCTGTCCAAGGGGGTTGTCCAATTCTCCCAACCCACTGTCAAAATCTAAATGAGCATCGTCGCCGAGCTTTTTCTTGTCCGCTTGCAGGTGAGATTGGATATGTTCTAACCGTCGAATTTTCGTTTCATAATAGACAGTGGTAACTGCAGCGGTCAACAGCCTATTGGCAATGTTTATCGTGCTAGCGGAGTGTTTATTAACTGCCTTACCCACTCGGGCATCTTGGCTAACAGTGAGATCTTTAAGGATAGTTAGAAGCAGTATTGTCTTACACAAAAAGTCTTCGACCACAATGGCTTTAGTAGCGCACCACAAGTGTAAAATGCAGTCGAAGAACCCGTTGCTGCCTTCCTCCGTTTCGTCTGTTTGACCTGGGACGCTTCTGTTTACTGCTCCTTGTCTATCGCCTTTTTCTTTTTCTTCTCCTGGAACTATTTTGTCGATTTCCCATTGCGGATCGATTTCCCCTTGCGGATCGATTTCCCCTTGCGGATCGGCTTCCCCTTGCGGGTCGATTTCCCCTTGCGGGTCGATTTCCCCTTGCGGATCGGCTTCCCCTTGCGGGTCGATTTCCCCTTGCGGATCGGTTCCAATACGGGAGATTTCGGGGAGGGACAGTTCATGCAAAGCCTGACTGGATCCGCTCGTAGCGTCAGTGGAGGTAGAATGGATTGAGCGCTTCTCAATTTCTTGCACCATTAGACCGTCCTTCGATCGACCAACCATTAACGATCGACCATTAACGCTAGACTCTAGTTCGACGTTGACGTTGGTGTCAGAATGGCGCACCATCTTGCGTGTCTTATACCAAAGACTAAACCCGATAATAGCTTTGATATCTCGGTGGAAAGTAAACTTGGTAAGAAGCCATGTAAGTTCATTAGAACATATCTCTATACATGTTGCAAAGATAGACATTTCAGGCCAATATACGCCACATTCTCGTCTGCTAGGTTGTAGTTGAATTGAACTTGCTAGAACGCAAAGTGTGTCATACAACAGCCGTCGCTCATATTGCATGTCAATCCAACTTCGTACGAGATCACAAAGGAGATCATTGAACAAATGGTTAGGGTTCTGCCCATATGCATCGGTGTGATATGCATCGGTGTGATATGCATCGGTGTGATATTCCTGGATCAGCGGTGCTGCTTGAGTCAGGGGAGAATCTTCAGAGAGTCTGTGAAGCCAGTAGCTTAGTCCATGTCTAAATTTTTTTGTTCCGATAGATATGTACGTTCGTTCCAAGCCATAACCAGGAACGAGCTTGTATGGGTCCTGAGTCACGTCGAGCATATATTTAACAAGAGACCTGCCATCACTGTTCGCTTCGACCTTCCACAGAGCTTCGTTCCACCGGAATGAGGGGCTCTTGACCTCCTCCAGCACTCGTTCCGTCAAGACCGTAGCAGGCAATTTACCGAGCTTATATTTTATCCTCAATGCTTCATAGCTTCGTTTCAACTGACTACTCTCACTTATAATATCATCCTCACCCTCCTCCAACACCTTCTTCCCGAGCATCAATATCCTGGACACCGTACAAACGTCTTGATCACACATCATTTATAATACACTCACCAGCCTGGATACCCAAAAATTCAGAACCTCCCACTGTACTCTCCCATCCACTGTGTTTGCGCCTAAGTATGTTGCTAATTATGTTGCTAAGTATGTTGCTAAGTATGTAATACTTATGTTTGGTGACAAAATTATAGCTGCTCATCAGCTACTGGCGCCGGAGCGTCCTCGTTTGCCGATGGTACTGGAGCGTCCTCTTCGTCTTCATAGCCGGCGACACTCGGGTGTTGGGCATTATCCACGTCTCCGTTGTCGTCATCTACTTGGAGATTGGCGCTGAAGCTGGGTTGCTTGATCATTTGTAGTTCTTCATCTTCCTCACCTTCCTCACCTTCATCCTCGGATGCGGACACTTCGCCCGGCGAGTAGGCCTGGAACTCAGCAATGCCCTTTTCTCGAAGCAAGACGTAGATCTTCTGTTGGACATGTTTACTCTCCTTCACCTTTTGCAGTTCCGTCTTGCCTCGTGCCAACGCATTCTCAAACTGCTCAAGGAGCTCATCATTCTGCTCCTTCAGTCTCATCAAGCTGTCTCGTTTCTGAGCCAAGATCTGCGCCTTCAGTTCCTCCTTCATCAACGACACTCGATCACCATCACCACGTGCCGCCGCCACTCGCTCACGAGCTTCCCCCAACTGCTGCTGCTTATTAGAAAACGCCAAATCACCATCACGCCGCTCTTTTTCCAGAGCCTCAATCTCCCGCCTCAAGGTTGTTTCGATTTGCTGCAGTTCCGCGGCCGACATTGTATTTGTGGGTTAGCATGCATGCATTTCACTGGCCACTACTGACGGCCACTGGCCACTACTGGCGGCCACTGGTGCCAATTACATTTGATGGCGGTGCAGATTATTCTGACGCACACACGTGTGCCATGGTATTACGGTGCATACTCTGGGTGTTAATTTCCTATGCTGCAGCATTGCCCCCCAAGTATCCGCCAGCGATGTACAGAAGTTCGACTGAAATCATAAAGTCAATAAACAAGCTGCAATGTTCACCGGATCTTTCACTTGTGAGTCCCGAAACCGGCTTGTTACCTGTTGATATTGTCTATCAACTTCCCCGCAGGAGTTATACAGCGTAGATCGTGAGACGGGGAGAGTTACTTCGGACCCGGAATCCTCCGGTTCGATTCCGGTGGTTCATCTAAGCAGCTTGGACATTCTACCTAATTCTAAAGCCTCATTAAGACGTAGTACCTTGACTGACGTCATACATCCAACCACACACCAGCGGGCGCTTTTGGTCTTCGGCGAACATGCAAGGGAGTAAGTAGTACTTCTTGGAGGGCCGACGCAAAGCTCTACCTCCCCCCATATCGAGTACCTCCCCCCCATATCGAGTGCATCTATCAGGTTAGTAACAGGCGAAGCCGCAGTGGCTTTGATAGAGTCGATTTGCAATGTACCTTTGGCTTCTCAGTCTTTGAGTGTTGTTATATTCCCCGTTTTAAATCGTTGGGGTCGCGATAAGGTTATTAAGGAAGGTATGATGTGTCAGAGAAGCAATAAGGAGGGTTTAGATCTGAATCGGGACTTTCCAACGATTTTGGAAAAGACCGATAGAGCTCCGGTGTCAAAGGAGATTAAGTTATTGAGAACATTTATGGACCATTTTCAGCCGGGAATTTTTGTCGATGTGCACTCGGGTAATGAGCTCATAGGTCTACCACCTGGTTCGGATCTTTTGGATGTCAAAGGATCATCCAAGTCAAAATTAAATTTTATGACTAAGTTCACTGACACATATTTGTCTGGATTGAAAGTTGGCAATCTTCAGAAGCTACTTAAATATGATGCTCCTGGAAACTCTGTTGACTACGCCTTCACCACATTGCCCTACCCTTCCCTTACACTCGGTGTGGAAATATACGAACAGTCAACTGCTTCGCGCACGGACGCAATAAAACTACTAGGCGGTATCCAAACCCAACCAGGAAGCCAAACTGCTGATGTCCTTCGACGAGAACAATGCCTATTCCAATTCAATCCCTACAACCAGGACACTCTCAGCCAAACTTTGCTACAGTGGGTTCCAGTACTATACAAAACCCTCGATAAAGGATTCCAATTTTTATCTCGTCAACCCAACGCAACCTTCTAGCTGGTCAACCCAACGCAACCTTCTAGCTGGAACGTTGACCCAACCTTTTCTTCCACTCAGCGCCCTCCCAAATCATTCACTTTCCGGTGATGACGTCCACAGCTCTCTGAACCGTATCCTCCAGAGACAAGTTTGTGTTGTCGATCACAATAGCGTCGTCCGGCTTTACTAATGGGCTGACCGCACGGGTCTTGTCGGCTTCATCTCTACGCGCAATAGCTTCATACACCTCCTCGTAGGATAATGCTCCTTTAGAGCCAAATTGTGAAAATCGACGATTGGCTCGTGCCTCGACAGAGGAGTCCAGATATATTTTTATCTTGGCTTCCGGTAGAATTACCGTGCCAATATCGCGGCCAAGCACAATACATGGCTTCTGCTGGTTCGCCAGACGTCGTTGCAGTCCCATTAATTTTTGGCGCACACGCGCGTTCGAAGCAACAGTACTGACAACAGAATCAATTTTCGGGCTGCCAAGATCCTTAACAGTGACTCGTTGCTCACCATCCCGCTCGAAAATACTGACGGTGCCATCAGTATGGAATTGCAGACCCCATGGCTTGTCTCCTTCTGTGACTAATACTTGTTCGCAAATAGCGTCTGTATCCGCGCAATCCATTCCATAGCGCAGCGCCGTAAGACAGGCGGCGCGGTAGAAGAGTCCGGTGTCAATGAATCTCATGCCCAATTTCTCAGCAACCCGGGCAAAGGTTGCCGACTTACCACTGCTGGCTGGACCGTCGACGGCCACCACTAGATCTGCGGCGACTTTGGTTTTTGTAGCACCGGTCATGGATGGTTCGTCCACAGGGTGCTTTTTAATGGAGGAAAAATAGTATGGCGCGCAATTCGGAGAGAGCCATGCTGTTACTGAACCGGTGGCAGTCGCTCAGTACCGCGATAGCCAGAGGTGTGCCTAAGCGGCGTCCGTTAAAAACATCTAGTGTCACATCCCTGCAAGATGCTGAGCACTGGCGCCATTCCGTAGTCCGTGAATTATCAATGAGGATGGCTGAAATTCAGAACAGTTTGCTGGGCGAGAACAGACTTCGAGAGCTGAATGACTTGATAAATCACCTGGTCAAGGAGAAGGCCAGTTGGGAGAGCCGCATACTCGACTTAGGTGGACCGGATTACCGGCATAAAGACTCCGGATTCTTATCCCGCAATTGCGTTGTGACTCTTAGCGGCGAACGCTATTACGGCGCCGCCAAGAACCTTGTTAAACCTGAAGAGCTGCTCAAAACCAAGAAAGACAAGGATGCCGTAACTCGGGCTCAGCTCACCAATAGGATCGACGCATCATACTATGGCTACAACGACGAGACTTTATATCCAGACCTGCTTGCGGAAGAAGCCAGGATGGAAGAACGACTACGAAGACCTCTGAATCACAATACGCAATCCTAGCTGGTCACGTCGCGATGAACTCTGGTCCTAAAACGGACGCTAATCAAAGCAAAAACATGACCGTCCACGCAACAGATTATGGTCATGAGATTATGGTAGTACACAAATAATATATACGCAGGAGGTAAGTAGGGCTGGCTATAAAGGCTGGTGCTGGTTCTTACTTCAAGCCCAATAACAGTGGTCTCCGAGAGCAGTGTTTTATCATTCGAGATGAGGCTCTGTTCAACTGCAATTGTTTTTGTGACGTAACTCAATGAGCTTGAAATCAATGTCACCTGATTCTAAAACAGATTCATGATCTCAAAGATTGGCTCTGTCTAGACACCCTGGCCTCAGGGTGCGTGCGCATAGCAGCCATGTGTTAGGTTACTTGTTTTTCAAGAGCATTTTCGGCTTTGCCGATGAGATACGGGAGTTTTTGATTGCCAATTACAAGCGGACAGTCCGTTGGTCGACCGTCCATTGGGTGACCGTCCGTTGGTCGACCGCCCATTGGTTGATTTAAAAATGCATGAGTTGGGGGACTTGGCTCGATTGCGGACCATTGAGCGGAACGGTCTGAAGGAACTGGAATATAGACTGAAGTTGAGAGTTCACTTGCTACATAACCACTCAGAAGGGATTTTCTCCGAAGCAGGGTCCCCACGGAACTCGGTCCGTAGCGGCGATCGGGGCCATGACGGATTCGAACCCACAACCCACCCTTCAGACCGAAACTCATACCGAAAGGGCTCAGGCCGTGGGAGCTTAGGTCATGAGAGCTTAGGTCATGAGAGCTCAGGCTGCGAGAGCTCAGGCCGTGATAGAAAGGGTTGGCGAGACGATGATGTCGATGTACGACGCTTCGAAGATGAGCCCTCCTCCGTGCGACAAACCCCCGTCAGACGGACCTCTGCACGACCGAGCTCCCCCGCCTGCAGCGCCGCCAGGTCCCGGAGGTCCCCAAGCTCCCGGAGTCCCCCCAACTCTCGAAGCTCCCGGAGTCCCCCGAGCTGCTCCCAGAGTCCCCCCAACTCTCGAAGTCCCCCCAACTCTCGAAGTCCCCCTAACTCTCGAAGTCCCCCTAACTCTCGAAGTCCCACTAACTCTCGAAGTCCCACTAACTCTCGAAGTCCCACTAACTCTCGAAGTCCCACTAACTTTCGAAGTCCCACTAACTCTCGAAGCCCCGCGGTATCCAGCAACCAGCCCGGAAGAAACCCGAGCACGTCCTGGTCATGTCGCGGTCCTCTCGTCGACTACGGGAAGTTGCGCAACTGTCAATGGAAGTCACCGAGCGGCGACTGGTTGAAAAGAAGCGCACCATTAGGAGACAGTCGGTCAGGAGACCGAACGTCATCGTCTGGCGACAGTCGTCAGCAGAGCGTGTATCCAAGCGGTCCTGCGAGAAGGGTTAGCTTGGCAGAGCGAGACGGTCTGATGGATCGAAACAGTGTGGCGGACGGTTGGCCAGGGCGAGATCGATGGGTGCAGGTTCCGGACAAAGGCGAGGTCGCGGTGGGGTCCCCGACGGTCTCGACCACAGGCAGTCTTGACGAGGCCCGGTTGGGGCGGAGTGACAACCGCCCTGGCACGGCAGGACGCCCTGGAAGTAGAGTGATGGCGCCTGCTTGGAATATTGCGGGTTATTTGCTTAAGGCGAAGGAAGAACTGAAATCGACGCGACCGGTTCGGTTACAGCAGGAGCGCCTTGCCCAGGTTGAGAATAGCATCGAAGAACGCCGAAGACAGACGCTGGAGGCTGAGATCCGAGAGATTCAGACTCAGGTGGACGCGAAGAGACAGCTCATCGACTCACTCGGTCGGCAAATGGAGGAGATCCAGTACAAAGAAATTCTCCGGCAAATAACCGATCAGTATCTCGTTATGAGCCAATTCATTCGAACTAAGACCCAACCCCCACTCTTCTGGACGCCCTACAAGCACAACGCAATCACTCGGAAACTTCAGATCAATACCAACGAGGAAATCAACAACCGAATAAAATCCTTCAATCAACAACAATGACAACCAGACCAGACCGTGCCACCAGACCATGCCACCAGACCATGCTCCAACAAATGTTAGCAAGCAAAGCAGTATGCAGGGCGTCAACAGAACACCGAACCGAAGTATCGTCGAGACACCTAGAAAGAGAGAAGAAACTTTTTCATATATATTTAATGCCTATTGCTGTTATGCGGTTGCTGTTATGCGGTTGCTTGTTGCCATCTAGTGGTTAAGGTGTTGACCACATAAAGCGCTTTATCTGATTGCGTCGTGATAACGTGGGGTGGACAAATAGTCGAGAAAACTACACGTTGAGGTTAGACAGACGGTGATCTGGTGATTATAGTAATTATTAGCCGGTGGAGTGCAGGATAATAAGGCACCAGCCACCGTTATAAAAATTTGTCGAGACTTTTTCGGAACATGCTTTGGACTGAGATCTCTAGTTGTATAGATCGAGACTTGCCTTATGATGGACTGCCGGATGAGGCTGTTTTGATTAATTGTCAGAAGATCCCGATCCAGGTATATCGGTGGAATGCTTGGACTTCCGTGCGTGGCGTAGTTGTTTTATTACATGGAGTACGTGCCCATTTGCGGCTGACGTGGTTGGCGAAGCGCCCACCTAACCACGTACACTCCAGAGACCCTTTGGATATAGTCAGTCGAGACTTAGTAGTAAGCCCAGACTTAGTAGTGAGTCCAGACTTAGTAGTGAGTCCAGACCTGGCGGGTCGAGACCTGGCGGGACGAGACCTGGCGGGACGAGACCTGGCGGGACGAGACCTGGCGGGACGAGACCTGGCGGGACGAGACCTGGCGGGACGAGACCTGGCGGGACGAGACCTGGCGGGACGAGACCTGGCGGGACGAGACCTGGCGGGACGAGACCTGGCGGGACGAGACTTGATGTCAAACGCTTGGTTGACGCCGGAACTTGATCCCGTATTGGATCAACCGCACAGTGCACGGGGTTACGAATATGATGACCAGGAGAGCCCGTGTAGCGCTTCCACGTCCGCGTCTGCCGGAGATTCAATGTCGATGGAATTCCCGTCCAAGTTGGCAGAGCCAATCGCGGATGAGCCGGCAGTGGTGACGGAGGAAGTGGACTCGAATGTCCAGGGACTGGACTCGAACGCGGGAGTGCCGCGTCCCGAGCGAACGGTGACAGGGAAGGTGGAGTGGAGTGGCCGATTGCGGAAGGACACACCTGCCTACGCGTCTGTGTCGAATGACGTGAAGGAAACGCAGATCTTTTATGAAGGGTCCTGGATCGAAGCCTTGAACGCAGCGGGCTATGTGGTATATGGAATGGACCTCCAAGGTCATGGCAAGAGTGGTGGGTTCAAAGATCGTCGTTGCGTTGTCAATGACTTCGACGACTACACCAAGGATTTAATCCAGTTCCTTCAGGAGGTTCGAGCGGAGCGTCCCCACGATCAGTTGGTGGTGGTGGGAGTGTCTCTGTCGACACTCACCGTTTGTCGAATGCTACAGAGCCCACACTGCAAGGATCTGAACATCCGCGCTTGCTGTTTGCTCTCCGGCTTCCTCAAGGAAGGTGGCATGTACCAACGACTGCGCCTTGTCATGTCAGTCCTGTCTTTGATGCGAAACGTCTTACCCAACGTACCCATTGTAACACCCAAACGGCCGGAAACGAACGGACCGGACTGGCAGATGAAGTTCGGCTTGGCTGACCCCTACTTGATTCGCACGCCCTTTACCGCCAAAATGCTTGGCACCTGCATCAAGGCTCTAGACGAGTTCAACCTGACCAGCTCCTTACAACTCCTACTCGACAACGCTGGGTGCAAGTACCTACACATGTTCCACAACTTCCACGACAAGGTAAACCCCGTCGACGGGTCCATCCAGCCACTCACCTGGCTCATGGACCAACTGCAGCGAGCCAAACAAGACAGCAGGCAAGACAACGAACAGATGGTGATTGGGGGCCACATATTCAACTGTCCAGAAGGCCCTTTACCAAAAGTGAAGACGGCGTCCACGGGAAGTCGGATCAAATCCGCGCTGCTCACCCCTTTGTCCAGCGCTGTGCCTCTGATGGCGACACACATGCCCTTCCCCTTTCCTTTCCCGCGACCGCTATCCTCGCAGTCGGACCCGGTTTTGTTGAACGCGACGCCGCTGAGCTCGGCCCCGCTGAGCTCAGAGCCGATGAGTTCGGAGCCGACTGCCGCAGGTTCGAGGAACAGCTCTGCCCGGAACAACTCCCCCGCCAGCGACTTTAACACGCCGCAAGCCCGACACTTTGCTTGCGCTCCGGACGAGAATGTAAAGCCGTACACGATGGACCTCAGCGGGATCCAACTCAGTGAGATGCAGCTTACCGGGATGGGCCTGAACAGCATGGACTTCAGCGACGTGGTGCCACAAGAACTAGACGAGTTTCTGAAGGCCAGCGACAGCCTCAAGCAGCCTGCGAGGATTACCGCAGATGTTGAAGAGGATCGGTATGGCAAAGACAACTTGGACAACCGCCGACTGTTGGACGGGCGAGTGATCGACGGCGGGGTCATGGAAGGCTACACCGTAGCCGACGAGCTCGGGAGTCTATCGGAAGACGACACAGAAGCGAACATTAAGGCTTATTGCTTCCCGCCGGAACGACTACTGGATGAGAGGCAATTACAGGCAGAAGGTAACAGCAGTGGAGTTGTGGACGACAGTGGGCTGACAGTTAGTCGTAATATAGGAATTGGCGGTATTGGAGTTGGTAATCGAGTTTGGGATGTTTCGCCGCCGGGTGTGCACGCGGCCGTGATGGGAGAGTATCCCACTGGTAGTATTCGACGACATTTCCGGTTGTGGCGGAAGACCCGGCTTGGGTGTGAGGAGCAAGAAATGCGACCGAGGGAGCATGCTGGTAAGGTACAATGGGATCGCGATTTGGATCATTGGAATGATGAAATAGTCCGAGACGAGAGGAAGTTGGATCTGGGACATACACTAATTACAGACCATGATAATTTGATTGTATTCAGTGAATTCTGGACTTGGCTCCAGAGTATTAGACAAAGGTGAGTAGACAAGGGGGGGTTAGACCGAAAAAGAAGGTCGAAATATGTGGCGATCGGTCAATCGGGATCGTTCTACTGTCAAAAAAACATGGCGATCATAGAGAGACCGAGGATATCGAGAGGGATGATTTGACTTCACCTTCTTTTGGGTCCAGTCGATCTTTTTGGGTGGTTGGAAAATGACCGTTGAATGACGAAGTGTGTGTATACCGCTCGATCGCACGATCGAGCACGGTGAATGACTAGCTTCAGGAGATGGTTTGACCGCATTTCGAACCGGGTGGCGGCCCATCGACAGCGTAAAGTGTCCGTGTCGGCTGCCTTGCAAAACAACGCTACTAGTTCCCTCATCCAAACCCGGAACGATCTAAAGTTGACTAAAGACAAATTACAGGAAGAAGCACAGGCACTTTTACTTCGAGGCGACCGCAGCTGTAAGCTTATCCCACAACCCTTGGGGCGACAACCCTTGGGGCGACAACCCTTGGGGCGACAACCCTTGGGGCGACAACCCTTGGGGCGACAACCCTTGGGGCGACAACCCTTGGGGCGACGACCCTTGGGGCGACGACCACTCGGGGCAAGTATAAAGGTCTGCTTTTGTAGTGGCGTTGCAGAATTTGGTTCGCGTTCGGATGATTGACAGACAGCTAGAAGTGATAGATGCGCTGGTACTGAGGGTGCATCAGGTGATGTTTCGCATTGAGACATCATCACTGGAACAAACTGCTGTAGAAACATTATCCATTTTGGGACTGCAGCACCAAGAGACTCAGAAGGATTTTAACGTTGACTCCGTTCGATCAGTTATCGACGTATTGGAACAGAGTGAGTCTTCTCACGATCGAATGGCAACATTAATCACCGGTGGGATCGTGAATGAGACTTCAGCCGCGGTGAAAGAACTTGACGATCTCGAAATCAAGCGTAAGGGCGTTCGAATAACTAACTAAGTCCCTTTATAGTCTTCACAGATCGACTAAATCAATTGGCACCGATTCCTACCCATGTGCCTATAACCGAGTCCCGACGAATCAGTCACACCCAATACAGGGTTTGCGAGACTACACCTACTCTCGACATGACCCCAGTGGATGACAGTCCTTGAGCACATCGGATTAGCGCCTTTCACTTCAAGCCACACTTCAAGCCACCAATTTGCATCAAGCTTACATACAGACCAGTCACCGACCAGACCACTCCCACCGTAGGCAAGTCTATTCCCATACCAGTTTATGTCGAATCAATCTATATGCATCACCCCTAAGGGTGGGTGATTTTTGTATCTAACTATCTAGCTATGATTCCATCATCGCGAACATGATCCAACAGTGGTGCTGTCCGCAGTCGGGTACTGTCAACCTGGACTGGCCGGCGGAGGGCTCGTCGTAGGGCTCTTGACAGCCAGGATGGGCGGCGTGGTAAGACGCAAAATGGGGTCCATTGGGGGTCCTTCCGGCGGCGGTGCGGCCACGTTCGGGTCCTGGGGTCTAAAGTTTCCGAAAGCGGGGTCTTCACGTGGTTGGCCTTCTAGTGTGTGTGGCAAGACAGGCACGTCTTGTTTGACCATCATGCCGAAGACTTCGGCGTCGGTGGCGTTTGGTAGTCGATGTTTGGAATGTCGGCGCATGACGACGTTGCGCAACAACGCATTGACTTGGGACCCGAAACCCGGTTGTTCGAGGGCACCCAGGAGCAGCGCAGCCTTGCACGACTCCTCGACCTCGGCCTCGGCCGTTTCGCGCGACTTGGGTCCTCGTCCGGCCGTCAGCCGCTCCGCCAGCCTAAGCGCCCGACCCGGTACTTCTCCAACTCGGTCGATCACAGACACGCCCTTGTTAGTTTCCAGGAACAGTGTGCGTGTGCTCGATGACAAAATACGCGTGCTATGATCCGGTACCTCAGCATAGCCCTCAACCACCTCCTCCGGAACCCCGTCCGCCGCTGCAGCACTCGGTCCAGGACTCGGTCCAGGACCTATTCCAGGACTCGGTCCAGGACTCGGTCCAGGACTCGGTCCAGGACTCGGTCCAGGACTCGGTCCGAACGAAGAAGCCGGCACCGGTCCAAGAAGTCGGGTTCGAGCCACAGGCCCGAGCTCCAAGTCCACCCACGGCTGCGGCAGCACCTCCAAATGGCTACACTTGAACCAACGCACCTGCTCCACTGTGACCGCCCCACCATCCAGGAAGCCAACCACTCCTCGATACTTGGAAGCAACAAAGCCAAACAGTGGCCGAATAAACTACAAAACCAATCCGTGTTACAAAACCGAGCCGTGTGCGAGTTAGGGCGAGTTATTCTATGATTAACGAGAGGTGATAACAAGAGGTGATAACGAGAGGTGGGAGCGTACAGTGTCGCGGAAGTGAGCGAAGCCCTGCGGTTTACGCAGTGGTCGGAGGTAGAACTTGAGTATGGAGTAGAGGATGGTGCATTGTCTGGGTGTGTGGTTGCAAACGGCTGCACATCGTTTAGGAACGTAGTTGGATGTGCATATGTATTGACCGAAGACCTCGAGTTCTCCTTCGGTCCAGACGACAGAATCATTCGGTGCTTCTTCTTCGCCGTCCCGGAAGGCTTTTCGAAGCGAGCCTTCGAGATGTAGCGGACAGAAGGGCAGGAGGGCGGCGGGCGGGTCTAGTAAGGCCGAGTCGGCCCACGTCACGCCGGGCCCCAAAACGCTGCTTGTGTGGTGACTCTCAATGGAGCCCGATAGGCGCCGCACTCTCTGAGCAGTCCCTGCGTCGTCGGTACCACATGCATTCAACCCACTAATGACTCGAGATGGGGAGCGCGTCGTCGGCGGTGACCTCAATTGCTCCCCATGGAACGGAGATGATCTGGGACGTTCCAGATCATAGATGCCAACGGGAGCGTTTAGGACCTCTTTGAGTTTGTGCGAAATTTCAAGTGCATTTCGCCTGACACGAATATCGTCTCTACGATCCGGTACCACTATGAACTCCCGCACCTCGTACATCACACCCCGACCGAGACTGCCTCTCTCAATCACTTTGTCACCTTCACGATCACAATATGTTTTTAAGTACGACAATGCCATCCCCGAATTGGGCGCAGGTTCGAATCCTGGCTCTGCAGATGCAGGTCCTGAGCCGAGCACGGACCCAGAACCAAGCAAGGAACCTGAGCCTATGGTGGAGCCGGAACTTAAGGTGGAACCAGTCCCGACGGGAGTACGAATAATGGGTTTCTTAGAGCCTAAGGAAAACCATTGAGCTTCCAGAAGCAATTTATCTATTTTGCCAGACTTGACGTCCGCGTAAATAGTACCAGGCATCCTCCAGGGCCAACCTCCGTCAGGTGTCAGTGCGACATGTCGGTCAGGATTCAGCAGAGCGCGTAAAGGTAGACATCCAAAGCGAGTGGGATAGTCACTGTCGTCCAGGTTGTCGTTGCAGTATTGTATCCATGCGCTGTGCCGTTTCCTGAGGGTGTCTTTTAGCAGGAGTTTGCTCAAGTCGAATCGCACTAGACGCCCGACATTCGGTCGAATGAAATTGAAAATCACGTCGTCCGGCTTGCTGTCGAATACCCGGAAGGTCCCGAATGTGTTCACCAAGTCGTCATCGAACTCGACTGACCAGGAAATCCCTGCTCCGCCGGCAGTCGACGGTTCGTCAATATGATATTTACCGATCTCTTCCAGAGCTTCGACCAAGGCGGAGATGAGCATCAAGCCACCTCTCGACGGTAGTGTACCACTCGCCAATGACACCCCACCGGCCAGTCTGTTATCGCTGCCAGTACTGGCCCCGTTAGACAGTGTGGAGTCGCCTTCCAATATGGCTTTATTTAGAACCATGCATTCGTTGTATGAGCGAGGAAACTTTAGGGGACAGCTGGGTATTCGGGTGGTCAGTCCGACTGCAGGGAATGTGACTTCAATGTCTGTTATCTCCTGCAGTCCGTGTTGTTGCAGTACACGCGCAATGTGGGTCGAGCATTGACACCAACCTTCCGCGTGTAACACTCCCATCAGATCTTCTCGACTGCGTACTTTCAGCGATCCAATACGCTCTTCCACGCTCTCCAGCGCGTAATTCAATAAATACACCGTCTCATCTCGGGTCTTACTCCGTGGCGACGCCTCTCCACCCCCTTGGCTCGACCGGCCGTCAGTTTCCACACCGTCATCTGTGCCACCTTCTCTGCCCCCGCGCCGACTGCGAACGCCTTCGTCCTCCCGGCTACTACTTTCCTCGTCCGTCGCCGAGCGCGAATCCGGCGGGGTCCGGTACGACCGCTCCTCCACTCGTCGCGCTCGGTCCTCCCCCCGTCGCGCTCGGTCCTCCCCCCGTCGCGCTCGATCCTCTCCCCGTCGCGAACGCTTCTCGGGTCGTCGCGGGAGCAGGGGCAGCGGTGCGATCACCTCCGGCGAACCGCGACTGGAGGACGGTGACGCCCGCCGTTTCAGACCCTCCTCGTCCGCGCCGAGCATCGCAAACACGCGGTCCAACAACTCCTCCATCGGCCACACCCCTGCCAGAAGCGGTAACCAATCATTGTATCGATGCTGTATAGCACGCAACGACTGACGCTCCTGCCTCCCCGACGTCCATCGCCGCACCCTCACCCCCTCAGACATGCCTACGTCCTCTCCGACTTCGTCGCCACCGACCTCGTCACCACTGACTTCGTCGGGCACAGATGGGTTTCTCGCAGCAGACAATCGTCTCCGAGAATCATCTGACAGCTTCCCCCCCTCGGAAGACTCAACAACCGAAGACGATTCCCCGTCGGAAGATTCCAGCTCCGACGATCCACGGCTGGACGCGCTTGAATGACTTAGTGTTGTGGAAGCTGGACCTTCATCCTCGATCACCATGTCCGAATCTTCGGCTGAGCCGGAAACGGTCAAGGAAAGCATGGACGAGGGAAACTCCTCCTTGGTCGTCATGCCTCCCGTCGTCACCAAGTCCTCATCGTGTCGCAGACGTCGTCCGCCCCGACGACCGCGTCGGACAACTCCCAGTCGGCTTCGCGTCGGGTCCCTACCCACGTTCCTTCCTGGGACCTTCCCTGGGTCCCTCCCTGGATCCCTCCCTGGATCCCTCCCTGGATCCCTCCCTGGATCCCTCCCTGGATCCCTCCCTGGATCCCTCCCTGGATCCCTGCCATTGCGGCTTTCTTTCTTGACCGAAGATTTGGCTCCCTGTCCTTTGCGCTTCATTTCCGACTGGGCAGATTTTTCTCGCTTAGGAACGGCATCGCCCCACCCCGGGTCACGAGACCCGAGGTGGGGCGACGTGGCGTGGGCCAGTCGCGAAATGGGCGGTGACGGAAACTCGATCGTGTCCTTGAAAGGCGGAGACGGAACCGACGACACGACGTCTAGCTCTCGACCGGAAGGGGGTTGACCGGAAGGGAGTGGCCGTCTGGTGGTCGTGGGTTCGCGTGGTCCGACCGGGCTCGGCTCCTGGTCTTCGTCGCTCGTGACGATGAGACGATTCTTCTTCCGTACAGACATCGACAGCTCGGTCAACTGGGGACTCCGCTCTTCCACAGCCGACGGGCTGCCGCGTTTGAACCTCCGTTCCGAGGTCGGCGGTTCAAAACCAACGCCACCGCTTCCGGCAGACACTGTTCTTACAAAGCTCGGACTGCGACCAGCCGAAGCTTCCAGATGAGCCTGAGGCTCCACTTGGGCGGGGGTGACCTTGGAGGTGTCTTTGGCTTCAGTCCCGGCAGTGGCTAGCTCATCTGTTTCTGTCGCCGATTTTTCACCCTCTTTTTTCTTCTTTTTCGGGATTTTCCCCACGTCGACTCTGCGGTCCTCTTCGCGGCCGCGTCTCTGCACTCCCTCAACCGGGCGCTTATGGGTCGTCTCCGCTGGCGAGGAGGACTCCTCCTCTCCAGGAAGCAACAGTTGATCCACAGGAATTTGCGTCTTGCTCTTTCGGCCCCGGCTCCGTCCGGGAGGAACTTGCACACGGCCGGACAGGACGCCCTGCAGGGACGGGGTGCCCGGCAGGGAAGGTGCACTGGGCAGTGACGGACCAGGCCGCGTGGGGCCGCCGAGCAATTGCGAACCGCCCCCGGTGAGTGTCAGAGGAGCACCTTTGTAAACCACGGGGGCGGCTTTGTGAAGGCCCAAAGTGGACATTCGAGCCTTCACCGTCGTTGCACCGGGCTCGGCCATCGGTGGAGATACGTGATCTCGCCGCCACGGACGGGTCGTCGAAGGACCGGCGGGTTGTCCAGTCGGAATAGGGGCCCGTGACGGGGTTTTGGTTAACTCCCGAGGGGGGGTTTTAACCGGCGTTTTCGTCGGAGTCCTTTTGATTGCAGGCGGCACACTAGGTGTTGGTCGGAAGGTGTCCTTCGGAACGACAGCCGGACTGGTCGCAGTCGCGCCTCCACGCGAGACCTTCAAAGTCGGGGTGGCTCGGGTAGGAGTCCGTCCCGGGGTTGGGACCCCGGTGGTCAGCCCTGAACTCGCAGCAGTGGGCATCGGGTTCGAGACCACGGGCGGGGTCGGGACTCGGTCGGCGTTGGCGAGACCGTCGCTGCCCGACGCAGCAGGAGTATCGCGTCGAGTCTTGAGATTGAGCATCTCCGCCGAAGTAATCATGGCCACCTGACGCGAACCTTCGGCTCCCACCCGTCGCTCCTCGCTGGCACCCCGGAAGCGCCGTTCTTCGGCTGCTACCACGCCAGACGCCAACCCAGGGGAACTGCGTCTTCGCCCTGATCCAGCAACCAACGGTCCCGCAGGCAACAATCCAGCAGGCAGCGGTCCGCCGGTCAAGACCGGAGAGAGAGCCCGGGGGGCGGCGTCGGGGTCGGTTACACTGGTATCAATCACGGTTCGCTGAACCGGGGAGCTTCCACCCGGTGCCTTGTCCAGCGATTCCGCAAAAGCGGTCCCGGCACCAGGATCCATGAAACCGGCGGCGCCGTCGTCCGTGGGGCTGGCTCCAGGACCCGCTTTTGAGGGCCGGTCTTGGAAGGGGCTGCCGTCTTCAGACGTGTTTTTAGTCTTGACGAATTCGAAGCGCCGCTCCTGGGCGTGGTCCGTGCGGTCGTAGTTCGGAGTCCCGCGGTCGTATCCAGTCTGGTCGTAACCAGACTGGTCATAACCAGACTGGTCATGACTAGACTGGTCGTACAGCGCAAGCGGGGGTTTGCTCACCTCAACGGCTCGGCGACCTACTGGCTCCGACCCCCGTTCCAGGACCTGCACGCCCAGCTCCAGACGCAGGGGCGAGGCCGGTGGCATGACGGCGGGCGGCCGTGTCCAGTCGCGCCGTTCCCAACGACTGTGCGGTGGCCTCGTCACGAAACGGCGCGGTCCATCGAACCCCCGGGGTGCTTCGTAAATCCGCGGCGCTTCGTAAATCCGGGGACCTGCCTCCTGGTTAGGACGAGGACCTACCCCCTCGTACGTTCGGACATTGCTACCGTGTACCGCTCTGCCGTGCACCACTCTGTCGTGCACACCTCCGCCGTGGGCACCTCCACCATGAGCCAATTCACCGTGAGCCATTCCACCGTGGGCACCTTCGTAAAGGCGACTCCCATCCGGCCTACGGCTGTCTTCATGCGCACTCCAGCCGTCCGGGCGACTGCGATAGCCACGGCTATAGCTTCCCTCGCCGTCTTCTCCCGATCGACCGCGGTACTCCGCGCTACGATACTCTTCTTCTCTCTCTCGCGCACGAGACTCCGCCGACCGGTGGTACCTGTCTGGTCGCAACTCCTCGTCCCGGTACCGCCGAAACATTTGCTCCTCCGGTGGGCTCGGCGACCGAGCAATTCCCGGCTCTTTATCCCACCGACTCGGTCGGGACCTATCCCCACTCATCCTGATCCACCATGGTTCTCGTGATGACATGTTAAAAAACGAAAAGTTAAGCCCCTGTACAAACCGTACAGACCCGACCCCAACACCCTGCCCATTTCAGGACCAGGACAACTACCCAGGTCCAGTTCCAGAACAGCCCAATTCCAGGACAGCCACCCAATCCAAGGCACCCGTTAGACGGCAAACTACCACTTGCTGTTATTGGTCTTCTCCAACGGCGCAATCACGTACTCCATCGGCCGCGGCCAACGCCGTGTTGCGTCTTCCGCCAACCGCTCCAAGTCCAGAGGGACCCAACGCGGTGTGGTGGCATATATTTCCTCTGCGCGTGCCCGGTTCCCCGGCACCGCAAATATTTCGGCGTGTCCGATGCCGCTGAAGCAGCCCTTCGGGCACGCGAGTAACTCCAGCGCGCCACCGGCAGGCGTCTTGGACCCGCCGCAGAAGTTCTTCAGGTTCCGTAAGCCCGTGGCGATCTGCACGACCCCCGAGCCCGTGGCCCCGTGGCCCGCGGCACTCAGGATGGTGTGATCTATATTGTAGCCCCTCGTCGTCCGGTACTCCAGCGAGTCTCCCGAACACCCAAAGTCTTCTCCCTCGGAGTCGCCCGCTGCCCTCAGGTCGTTAATAGCCTGCGCAGCCAATCCGCCGTTCGCTCGAAGCAGACTGAACCGGTAGCTCCGGAGTCCGTACAGGTGACTGAGGCGATAAGCCAAGTCCCACCGCCGTGTGCCCAAGATGCGCGGGGGTGGAGCGTAGGTCGTCGCGAAGTGCTTCAACACCTGGATCAGCTCTTGTGTGGTAAGACCTAGCTCAACCAACCCGGAAAACTCCGGCCGCACGGTCTCCAGTTTCTTGTCCAAACAACTGCTCACCACCACATGGTATACCAACCTGCCTGGGACCTCATCCGAGGCCTCATCCTCCTCTCCTTCCCCCTCCCGATCAAAGCACTTCGAGTGAAAGTGCAGGTCGCGACAGTAACCGCCTAACGGCCGCAAACGCCCCCAACAGAGCCTTCTGAGCTCGCTGTACATGGTCTTGACCAGCAAACCCTGCCAAATTTGGGAGGGGGGACTTGTGTTTATATTGGCACAATTGCCAGACTTCTCCGCATACAGAACCACACCCGGACAGTGGCTGGACAGGCCGTCCCTACCGCGTCGTACGCTCGCGACGACCTCCGCCACGTCCATACTGAACGTCTCCGCGATACCATGCTCCAACAAAGCCTCCCGAAGCCATTCGTAAAAGGCATCCCGGTTCGTAACTCCGTAATACGCCATCAGTGCTGCTTCAGAGACCCCAGACATGGACAATACTACAACCGGACGTTTCACAGCAGAATAAGACAGGCGCCTATCAGACTCCAGGCTATCAGACCTGCTACGCGGTTCTTCCGACCCCAATGCTGTGAATGCCATCTCGTCTGGACATTCACCGTCAGGCCCCGTGGCGGACGGCATAGCAGCGGAAGGTATACCTAATTTATCCAATAGCGTTTGGTAATTATGGGAATCAATAAGCACGGCTTCCGCAGTCGTAACACATCCAGAGCAAGCCAGACAATCTGCCAGGCTCACGGTTGCGGCCTTCAAGCTCTCAACTTTGGTCTCCTTGGACGAATTAGTTTCCCTCAACAGCCGAGGTCTTTCTTGCTTCTGCTCAACCACCATACATTCTTGACTAGGCTTCAGGAAATCGTCCAAGTCCGCTAACTTAACGGCCAAGGAGAATTCCATTTTTATTCCCCCCGAAGCTTTCTACTTAAGATCTTTCCCAGCTGCGAGTTCAATAACGTGCTATTGGAAGCAGTATGGTAACCCGAACGGTTCCCACCAGCGGTGGACTGACCGAACCGGCTCTCTTTGACTCTAAGGACGAAGAACCATAACGAGGAGATCAGAGGCATATGAGGGCAAGTATTGGGGGAAAAGATCAGGGCAAATAATGATTCCAAATGCGAGGGAAGGAATAGTATAGCGTACCTGATTTTGTCCTTCTTAGTCTTAACATGAGAGTCTCGCAACTTTTCCGCGGTCCTTTCTTCCTTGGAAGGTTCCTGCAGTAAATAGGTTGCTGGTGTCCGTTCCACTATCCGGCTGTCCAAATCCTTGGTGAAGATTCCGCTGGTCAACTGTTCTTGTTGAAGAGCCTTTTTCCGGGTAACCTCGGCGATCTGTCGGGAGATGTCGGCTCTCGTGGAGCTTTCTTCGTTGAGGCCCCAAGACGTATTTACGGGCCTAATGATCACAGTTCCGCCGGTCTCAAGTACAGCAACCGAATTACCGTCATTTTTTGACGGCGCATCTTGTATCGCGCACGTGTGCGACGAAGAAATCGCAGCTTGCAACGGGTCCCCAAGCGTCAATTCGGGGACTTCAGATTGATTCATTAGGGCTCGAAGCTCTTTCTCGTCATTTTTAACGCCAAACATGAGTGCGTTTTGACTGGCATGGCGATGGAATATAAGCCCATCCCCCCGGCCATCGCGAAGCCGTTGCTGGTGTTTATTGTAGGTATCGCTGTCAGTTAGCATTTTTGCCTTGGTCCGGCTGATCTTGAGTTTATCCAGCTGCATCATTTTATCGGCAGCCGCATTGTCCTCGGTGGTGTGACTGAGTTGAAATTCATTGATTGTTTGTCGAGCGTTATTTGTTTCCTGAGAATGGCCCTCATCATGGTCTCCCTCGTCGTTATTCAAGGTTGTGGCAGCCAAAGTAGTAGCTAGTTCTTTTCTGCAATAGAAAACCTTCCCGGTCCAAGTGCTTTCTCGGTGCAGGTGCCTTCCCGGTCCGAGTGTGCTCTACTGTTCATGTACAATAGGGAAATATTGTTTCGCGATAATGGCCTCGAGCCTTCGGTTGTAGTCATCTTCGGAGAGTACTATCCGTCCATATCTATCTTTATCATACTCCCCGCCATCTTCTTCTTCCTCCGTCGTTTTAAAGGGTGAATAGAAGTGTGCCGTCTTCAGTAAACGTCTTGAGTCTTTAATTAATAAAAAGAAAGGGGAAATGTTAAGGAGAGATATCTCGACGAATGCATAGTAGGACCCTCAAGGAATATAATGCCCGAATGGTTAATTGTTGGACGAATGGTTAATTGTTCGACGAATGGACGGGTCAGGGTTCGCCTGGGACAATGTGGTAACAAATGCTGTGAGTAGGACGTGACTGGTAGCCCAGAACAGTTCGTCGATTGTCGAAGTGTTTGGGGCCATTATTCCTCCGCTTCGTGACCCGATCATTTGGTAAGACGTAAGGGTGTTCCTTCCGCACCTTGTACATTACCATGGGAGTACACTCCGGCTGATCATTCCCATGACATAAGAGGTCAATCAGATTCCACTGCTCAAACTGCCCCTCAATAAGCGTAACTACTACCTCTACCAACATGGGTACTACTAGCCTGGTCTCTACGGGACTGGGCTCTAGCGACTTGGTCTCTAGCGATTTGGTCTCTAACGGCATAGCCTGTGGAGGCCCACCGTCCCTTTCCACTTCGTCTACGACCTGAGGTCGAAACACATTCTTCAGAAACCGCCGGATCAGGTCGTGATGTACATCAGCTGACTCAATACCAGCGTGAGGGTGGTTCCAAATGACTCGGTCTGCGTCGCAGGCCATCGTACAGGCATCCACGCCGTGACGGACTTCGCGACTCGGATAGCGGCAAGGTGTCTCCAAGTAATCCAAGTGACTTAGAGCGTCCGGATACTTCTTCAGCACCTCCTCACGAGAGTCCAACGAGGTGGCAATCATATGCAGCTCCTTTGGTAACTCCTCCACATTAAGCAATAACAGGATACTAACAACCACATCAACAGGTTACAAACACGAACACTGAGTCGCACACACGCCTTACTCAGCCACACCTTATGGTGAGAAGTTCTAGTGAGAAGTTATGGTGAGAAGTTCTGGTGAGAAGTTCTGGTGAGAAGTTCTGGTGGAGGTTACTAGTCGAGTGAAAATAGCTCATCATCAAATGCGCGCTTCCGATAAGGCACACCATTTGCTACCGCCTTCATGGATTTGTGGTGGTGCTTGATGGACGCGGCGAGCCACCGTCCGAATGAAAAGTCACCTTCCCCGCAGAGTACTATTTTCATCGCAACAAAGTTTTGAGTCGGGCTACTTAGCCTCAGACGCCGTTAGACTTTCGTACTGGACTCTAGGACTCATCCTTACTGTACTATCCCACGGAGTGATCGTTTTTGTCCTCTACATTTTGTCACGAGGACGTTCTGCGTTCGTCGCGCGCGCGTCCGTTAAAAACGCGTTGGACTTGGTTCGAGGAAGTTGGCCTTGCCTGCTGGTGCTGAGTTATCCGCCACGGTAGCCCTGCTGGATCAGAACGAGGAGCGGAAGGTAGAGCACTGCCTGTGGGCGACTTCTATTGTTGGGCTCAGTCACGCCTCTACTGTAATTTTGGTTAATGAAAAGACCCTTCTCGATTTCCGGGACTTGTCGGGGCTGACTCTGGGTGCGTGGCGACTAACTCTAAATGCATAGCGACAGGTGTGTGCGAAATGGATACGACCGATTTGGTTGAATTTCATATTTTTGTGTTGGTGTAAATTAGCGTTGTAAAGATGAGTAGCAGTCATCCAGTGTTGGAAGAGGTGACTACGCCTTACAAAGACCAGAAGCCGGGTACGTCAGGTTTAAGGAAGAAGGTTGCTGTGTTCAAGGAGAAGAATTATCTAATGAACTTTGTGCAGTCCTTGTTTAATGCTATACCCGAATCGGACTACGTGGGGCAGACGTTGTTAGTATCGGGTGATGGGCGATACTGGTGTCGGGAGGCAGTGCACATAATTGCTGAGGTTGCTGCGGGCAATGGAGTGGCACGATTGTGGGTGGGTAAGAACGGATGGGTTTCTACACCGGCCGGAAGTGCGATAATTCGTGAGCGAGAAGGAGGTATATGTACCGGTGGTTTATTACTTACCGCATCGCATAACCCGGGTGGACCTACAGAGGACTTTGGTGTGAAGTATAACTGTGCGAATGGAGGTCCCGCGCCTGAACATGTAACAGACGCGATTTACGAAGAGTCGCTCAAGGTAACGACGATCAAGAGAGTTACATTGACACCAGTTGATTTGAGTAAATTGGGTCCGGTACAATGTACAGACAAGTTTACTATCGAGGTTATCGATCCTGTCGAGGATTGGCTGAGAAAGATGAAGACCATATTCGATTTTGACTTGTTGCGCTCACTTGTCAAAAGATCCGATTTCCGTTTCGTTTACGATGGCCTAAATGGAATTGCTGGACCTTACGCCAAAGCCATTTTCGTTCAGGAGCTGGGTTGCAATGCCGATGAGGTTTTGCGTCAATGCGAACCACTTGAAGACTTCGGTGGACACCATCCCGACCCGAATTTAACATATGCCAAGCGACTAGTGGACGAGATGAAAGTTGATGAGATGAAGGTCGGTGGTTCGACGCCCGTCCCCGACACCGGTGCCGGACCGGTGGTTCCTGACTTTGGCGCTGCAGGCGATGGAGACAACGACCGCAATATGATTCTCGGCAAGCGTTGGTTCGTTACACCCTCGGATAGTGTCGCCATTATCGCACACTACGCACAACGCGCCATTCCGTACTTCAGCAATGGACTGAAAGGTGTGGCACGCTCCATGCCTACCTCTGAGGCACTTCTGCAAGTCGCGAAAAAACTGGGCGTCGAGCAGTACGAGGTACCCACTGGGTGGAAGTTCTTCGGCAACCTCATGGATGCCGATCGATGCAGCATTTGCGGCGAAGAAAGCTTTGGTACCGGTTCCGACCATATCCGCGAGAAGGACGGGTTATGGGCTGTACTTTGCTGGATGAGCATCCTCGCCTTCCGTGCCAAACAAGACGGTAAACTCATCTCCGTCCAACAGATCAATGAAGAATTTTGGTCAGAGTATGGGCGCAATTTCTACGTCCGTTATGACTATGAGAACATGGCGACTGAAGACGCCGCGGGGCTCATGAACCACCTCGCCTGTCTTGACGTGTTGCAATACAACGCCGAACTAGGCACCAACCTGACTAAAGCGGACATTTTCACATATCATGACCTCGTTGACGGATCCGTCACCAAAAATCAAGGCGCACGAATCTTCTACGAAGACGGTAGCCGCTTCGTCGTCAGACTCTCCGGCACCGGCTCCAGCGGAGCTACAGTACGAATGTACTTTGAACAGTTCTCCAAGGACTATCTCAACAACAACATGCAATCCTTCATCGACAAGGCACTCCTCATTGCCAGGGTTAAGGAATTCCTCAAGACTGATGTACCCACCGTCAAGACCTAAACACGACAGACACTCTGCACACATCGTAGCAAACAAGATAAAGCTAAAATTCACTTATTTTTTCGTCACAATCATAACAAGCATTATTTTTAACTCATCGTCTAAATCACGTAACACGTAATCGTGAACGGGTGATAACCCTCAGAATCTACTACCTACCGTCCAGTCGTTTTATTAGTCTTCAAGTGAGTCAATGTTAGTTTCTACTACTTCTCGAGCGCGTTCGAACTCGGCGAGGTCACTCGCGAACATTGGTTCGCGTCGGTAGTTGTCTAGGAAGGCTTGGCGGCGGAGTAGAACGTCGAATTGGTCTGTGCATCTCCGTAGTGTATCCCGTAGGCCGGAGTGATGGCTGAGGATGAGGCCGGAGACTCGGGAGCGTTTTAGATAAGGGGAGGGCCTGGTTAGAGATATACTGTTGATCTCGAAACCATTCTTCTCCCCACCGGCGGTTGGGCCATAGTCGAAGGCGTTCGACTTGCGTATGCGTTCGAGGGTCTCCGTGAGCTCCAAAGGGGCAGGGTCGCCTCGGACGAAGCACATTAAGGAGCGGTAACGGCCCAGCCTAGGTGGGAGAGTTACCATGAAATTGTTCGGCTGGAAGCAACGCCGTAGCACGTCATGCACCGACGTCTTGCGCACCACATTGGCTCCAAAATCCTCACTCTCCAGAGGTGCTATACTCGAAACCAAAAAGTGGTTTAAAGGACTAGTCACCACATTCGCCAACACTGACGTTAACGAATTACTCGTGTACGAAGGGAACCGGATCGAACCGGTTAAAGTCGCCATGACCGTTGCCACCAAGTAGTTCGTGTGCGCAAATGACGGACGCTCCAACCGCTGCCGCTCCGTCGCCAACCGGTTTAGCGCTGTGTTGTCCAATAGAATACAACCGTCCGCGTGCTCAATTAGTCTACACACAGAAAATTCAGATTCCCGAGAGGGGGATTCGAACCGTGGTGACACAGGTGGGGAGAGGGAGTACGGCCCGTTCTGAGCCGACCTTTGTCAGTGGGGGAGTGGGATTGGATAGGGGGTATCCCCGACTAAAGGGCATCCCTGAATAGGTGGTCGTGGCGCCGGCGGTGGTGGATACCGTGCAAGGGTCAGTATCGCGTTATACGGCTGTACCACCACGTCTGACAAGGACTTGTCGAGCAGCGGCAAAACCTAAAACGAGTACTATCGCTGTGCCGTCGGAATGGGGTGTGCGGGGGGGTTAGTCACAGTGTGTGACCCTGTGGATGTTTACGCTGTAAGTGAGCATCAGTTTTTTGGGGAAGCGATCGCGGAGGGCTTCGAGCATGAAGGATCCCATGCCAGAGCCGGTACCTCCGGCCATGGAGTGTAAAAGTTGGAATGCTTCTAGATTGTCACATAGTTCAAGCTCGCGATCCAGAATATCGAGGATGGCATCTGCATTGCGATGGGCCTGGGCAAATCCGGAGGCCCAAATGTTGCCAGCGCCGCCACCTTCAAGACTGACCCAGACGGATTCCTGATTGAAGGCGGGTCCGCAGGTGGAGACCTGAGCAGCATGCACAACACGCGGCTCCAAATCTAGCAACACCGTCCTGGCTATATAGTCGCCTGAGTCCGCCTCATAGAACATGATATCCTTACGATCATCCACCTCCCCTACCGCCATCATTCCCTGTAGATCACCACCTTTAATGTCGCCCCCTTTTGTCTTCTCCTGGAAGGCGACTCCTCCTGTCGTCTTGCCCTTGGAGATTACCCGCGGCTGGATGCCATGCTCAGCCAGCAACCGCTTCCAGCATTCTAAACCCAACTGGTTGCCACACTGCCCCACCTGCAGTGTCACTATTTCCCGCGGCATATTCCCGACTACGTCACTCAAAGAATTATTCGAAAAGATGCGGACTTAGAGCGGGAGAGATAACTCACCTGGAGGGGGGGAGATAACTCGATTGGAGGGGGAGAGGTAGCTCACTTAGGGAAGAGGAAAGGTTCGAACATTTTTGAGACCAACAGCAAATGGATGCCTTGGAATCCGCCTCCAGATCTGCTCTGAGGTTTCCGAACAATCAGCTGAACGTGGGACACAACCGGATCAGCTCAGTCGATGGCAACACCAAACCGCTTTACCAACCGCAAAGGGCGAAACTGACGCTTTCCGCCGACCGTCTAATGACGGAACAGGACACAGGTAAGGAGCATGACACAGGTACGGCACCCAGGTGTTATCCAAGGTGTGGGTGATGATACCCACACCCGTGTGGTAGATACCCACACCCGTGTGGTAGATGGGGGGTGTTCTATAGGCCCTGGTGAAGTGATGACGGAGTCGTATGGAGAGTCGTCCGAATCCTTTGGAGCGAGGTTGCCTCCTGCCTACCCAATGTACCGACGGAAATCTCCTAGCGCGAAGCAGGAGTTCAAAGCGGCCAGTGACAAGTTGGATGCGTTGACGAGGAAGCTTACTCTGATTCACCGGTCGCTGGTGGAAGACCAGCAAGGGTGCGAGGAGGGGAGGGCGGGTGTGTGTGACGGGAGCCGTGAGCTAAGTCGGAGCGCGGGGGTGGTTGGTCGAGGGGGTTAGATTGTTCGTCAAGTGGTAGTGGAGCCCGCGAGAACATTGCCGGGCCCTCCGCTCAGACCATGGGCC